TTGTTTGTTTCTAATTGTGTAAGCCTGTTATTGGTCTTGGGGTTAGACTTTATGTAATTGTGCTACTGCCAACTCTTTTCATGGATTAGGTAAGGTCTTAATCTATCTTGACAAGTTGTATCTATAACCTGGGTGAGGCTTGACAAGAAAAGTCAATGTTTTGAAATAGTTCCTGACTGCAAGTCATTGGGTGTATAACCATACATTTGCATTGGAGGTTCATGGTCGATGTCCATGGCCAGTTCAGCTAGTTGACACCATTTGCCCCTGATGTGTTCCTACAGCTACCCCTAGTGGTGCTCTGAGGGTTGCAGGAGCCTCAGCCTCAAGCAGTCCAACCTCGGTCGTCTTCACTGTGGGATCTACATCCAGAGGAAACACTGGGACCCCACCAAATACCACTAGGGAATTCTCAGGTACATAGGGCTCTAAAACTACTGTAGGATGACTAGAAGGGTTTCTTATTTGGTTCTCATACTAGATCAGTGAGTCTGATAAGACGTTAATCTTTTCAGTATGGTATCATGATCTATGTTTCAAGTTTTATTGTCACGTGCACAAGTATAGTGAAATGCCTTTCTTGTAATGCAGTGGGATGTGCAGTGAGGGAGAAATGCTTTTCAATGCTATTAAACAACTTTTTCTTATTTGATTATTCGATCTTTCCTCCTATGAGTGGGATTGCCCAGCAATATCAGCCCATCCTGGTCATTCAGCAGAAGAACCCATAAAGATGTACCTAACTACCAGCACTTAACCCACCCCATGGCAGCTAGCCCAGACAGGGCCGTAGCTTTTGACCCTTCAGAGCTCCAAGAGGAGACACTGATGGGGGTGGGGTAAGCACATAAACACTCCTTCATATTATATTAGGTCTCTGTACATCAATGTATTCATCACTGAGTTATTGTTAATAGATTTTGGACACATACAGAGTTTGCACATTGCCAGAAACTAAACTGTTGACACAATGCTATCCTTTCTGCTAACCTTTCTGTCTCTCCATCACAGCAGTGGCATAAGGCTGGCCTGAGGAACCTGCTGGCCTTGGTCCACTGTGTCATGGAGATAGCCAGTTCTAAAGGTACTGGACTTGAGAGTGAGACCAGTGAGGACACTCCTGATGTGTCCTTCCTGCAGCAAAGCCTGGTGGCTGATCAGATCAGTCTTCTAAGCTGGGAGGTGAGGGGATGCATCTCTCTGTTATTGATTCCCTAAGCTTTAAGTTGCTGCTCAGGCCTGTTAACTTATACAGCACTTAAGACCTATATTTAAAAATCACAGCATTATGATGTATTTTTAGTACTTCAAGATATTTGTTTGTGTTTGTTAACATTGGTATTTTCGATGTGTGTATCGCAGCTATGCAGAGCAGTTGGTACTGTACATGAAGGCTGCAGAATTTATTTAGTCTGCATTACACACTGCTATGGAGGACATCAGAGAAGCCAGACTCTTTCCCTCATCTACAGTCAAGCAGGGTGAGACATGGGACCACATTTTCCTCTTCTAACTGATACGTGCAAAACAAATAGTCCTGTTAATGATCATGTTATATATGCTTTATAAAGTGTATTGAATTAAAGTAATGTATCCTGTATGTAGTGGTGAAGAAGCTGAATGAGCTGTATAAGAGCAGTGTGATGTCCTGTCGGTCCCTCAACGCCCGCCTGCAGAGCTTCCTCCTCAACAAGCAGAGACTGATGGACCACATCAACAACATCGATGCAGAGAAACTCATCTACAGTCACACCGTGACCATGGTAAGGCCTCCTCTCTCTCACTGGACAGTACAGTAAGTCCCTGTCTTGTCCTTTATATGCTCTCAGTCTTTCTAATAGTGGTCTTCAGTTTTATGTAGTAGAATCATTGGACATAGTGTAGGATATATGATGGATAGTAGATACAGTAAATATAATTGTACTATATTACTTTTACTGCAGTATTTATGATGGGGTTATAATATTGAAAGAGCAATGTTAATAGCTGAGTGTTTGTGTTTCTGGTGTCCAGGTGCAGTCAGCAGCGCTAGATGAGATGTCCCACCGTGGCCAGGCGCCCATCCAGAGATACCACAAAGCCCTTCTGCTCATGGAGGGCCTGACCCTTACCATCACAGAGCAGGCAGACATCGACAACATAAGTAAATGTAAGTAGCTTATAGATAGATACACATGCACGGACACACGTGCACACACATCTCTTTGAAGATATAAAGTATTAATTACTCTTTCTCTCTCTGTGTTTCTCCCATTGTGTTGGTCTCAGGCAAACAGTGTATTGAGAGATGCCTCCTCTCTGCTCTTCAGACTGCACAGTGTGATTGAGCTTGAGGCTTTTGGACTATAGCTACAATATTAGCTGAAGCCTCCGAGCTTGGTTAGAGCACCTCCAGACCCTCTGGTGTCCCTGTACTCAGTGAAGATGGCACTCCTCGGAGTGTTGACACACAAAAGCACTTTGAACAGAAGATGCTCAGTGACGATATAGCTGCTCTCAACCCACAGACTAGCACCAAACATAAGGGAGAAGAAGAGGAGTGGGGGTGGTTCTGTCTGACTCCACTCTGAGAGCAGTGTGTGTTGTGGTTGTGTGTCAGGCTACAGTATGTTCTGCCAGGCCAGTAGTATGCTACGGTTAATCTACTGGATTTATCAGGCCTCACTGGATAGAGTAATTATTTTCTTCTCAAATGAGTTGATTTCACTTTAAATAGTTGTTTGAGAGTAATATATGTTTGAAAGTAACGTTTGATGTAGAGCAGGTGGCGCTCAATAAGGAAGGAATTCAAAAGTATCTTTGGTACCAGCTGGTGTTATATTGAAGCTAGAGGCAAACATCTGCATCATTTTCAACAGTTGGAGTTGGAAAGTTGTGTAAGAAAGTATTGTGGATTTATAGCAGTTTATTTTTTTTAAATAATGACAGTCTTTTTCACTGCTTTTAGCAATGTACATTTTTGACAAGCCACTGTAGCACAAACACAAAGACATTTATGATGGACTTATTCATAAACTGTTAGGAATGTCATTACTGTTTTGCAGAGATCTTAATCTTGTGTAAGGAGTGTCAACTCTTCAAGAAGGCACTCTTTCCCAGTGTGCCCAGCAAGATAGTCATTTTACTCAGCAAGCACCTGATCTGATGTTTTTGTCTATTTTTGCACTAATATTGGTGAATGGTCAGTACTGTATATGTGTGTGGATGAGGCAGAGACATTTCTGAAATAGCCTAAACTTCAGTACAGAACCTGTCCCGGATTTTGTATTTTTAGTACGATTTTGTATAATTCTTGGGTTTGTGTGTGGTTGGTTTTAATCTTTAGTTTTATATGACTGCCTGTGGCTATACATTTGAATTGACCTATTTATGAAAGACAATGATATCAGCTTTCTGAAAGAAAAACTAGGCACCTTTTAAATATTAAATGTCTTTGTAAATATATTGAGTATTTGTTTTGACTGTATGTTGTTCTTGTTCTCCATAACCAATCTTCCAAAATCAGTTTCATATGAGAACATTGTGTGAGAAGAGTGATTTAAAATCAAATGTATATAACATTTTGTGGGATGTTTCTGTTGTCCTCTAGCCTACACTTGTCAGCTGCTCAGCAGAACATTTGACCAAATCCAGATCTACAGTATAGAGGAGGCATGTTTTGATGTGAGGCATTAGTAGGTGGAGATAGAGGTAAAAGCTACTACAATATTTTGTATTATTGAGTTTGACTCATCTTTATAGGGCAAATACATTTTTCCCAGTTGGTTTTAGGGAATAAAGTATATAAACAATCAATGTAATAAAGTAGCATGAGAGAATAAATTGGCTATAGCTAGGTTATTTGAAGTTACTTAGACTAAGCAAATTGTATTTGAGGGCAATGCGCCCATAGAGGTACTAGAAATCGCCTCTACTCTATGTTGAGGGGTTGGTTTACATTCTTGTCAATCAGAATGAGTCCAGGGTCGTTCACTTACTTTGAAACGGAACTGCTTCCGGTTCTTCAAGGAAATAGATAGAAAAAAATAAAGTACCATCGCCATGTTTCAGAATGAAATATGTCCAAAACATTAAATGTAATATTGCCGTATAGCAGTATTTACACTTCATAATTTTTGTCTTTGTTTTTAAAGAATACTTTTTGGTTGATGAGACTACCGCGGGAGTTGTATTTGCTGTAAGTAACTAGATGTCTATTTACCCTGCGGCTAACAAATTAGCTAGCACGCTACTATCGGAGGGAAGGAGCGGCATCTCGGCCTTATGCGTGCTAAGTATATGGACATTTAGTTGACTCCCCAAAAAATATATTGTAAGCACCGTACACATTTCATCCATACATGGACAACGTTGAGTTGCATAGTTAGCTAATATCATACTAAACTAATGCTAGATAGCGATATCATATCTGAGCTAGCTAGGACAAGGCCGTGCACAATTAGCATAATTTAGCTAGCTGGCTACAGCTAATTTATAAAGATGTAGTTACAGCCGTAACGTTATGGTTTATTATGCTTCGGCTAGCCATGAAAATCAGTGCTGCTGGTTATGACGGTGGTGTTAGCTAGTTAACGACATAACACGAACTAGCTAGCTATTAATAATACCTAGTTAACGTTGGCTCAATAGCATTACTACATTGCCTGTCAAATTCTGCCAACAACAATGGTTAGCTAACTAGCTCTATAGCCCCACTCAAGATGCTCATCTGCGTCTCTCACTTAACAGTGAATGTCTAGCTAGCGTGTGTGATGAAACTGGCTACCTTTTGCCAAGCCGTTCACTAATCAGTGAGACGTCTTTCAAAATAAAACATGTAATGTTTCAGCATCATATAAAGTAATGTGCAAAATTGTGAATGATTGGCATTGTTACAAAGAATGTCGATGTTTGATAGAAGGAAAACGGCATATAAAATGTCACCAATATTGGTTACATGATTTGATGAGAATGTCTATCCTCTACAGGTATTGTTTCCCATACAGTAACAGTGTTACGCAATGCACCATGGGAGTGGACCACAGAATGTGCAACGGCAACTTCAGAGATCCAAGTCCACCACTGGATCTGAAGCAGAAGACCACCAGAAGCAGCAGACCATGGCAGTTACTCAACAGCAGGCAACAGCCAACCATCCACAATCAACTGTGACCACGTTTCCATCTGCAGCCAGCCCTTCAGCCCCCCAGTCCCCCAACTACCAGATAATAATGAGCCGCAGCCCTGTCACAGGCCAGAACATGAACATCACCTTACAAAATGTCAGTCAAATGGTGACAGGCAACCAACAGATCACCCTCACCCCGCTCCCCCTCCAGAACCCAGGCTCTCCCGGCTTCCAGCACACGGCCCCGCAGTGGAGGTTTGAGCATGCCCCGTCCTATATCCAGGTCACCTCACCGCTGCCACAATCCATGCAGCCACAAAGTCCCACCCAGCACAGCCCAGTCCCCCTCCAGCGACCAGGGGCACCTGGAACAGGACTGGGTTTGTGTGGACAGAGCCCAACACGCTTTGTTGATGCTGGCATGCTTGTGAGACAAATCAGTCTTGGCAGCCCGCCTGGAAGTGGGCACTTTGTTTACCAAGAGGGGACAGGGCTGACGCAGCTAACTCCAACCACGGTTGGGCAGGTGCAGCTGTCCTCCCCAGGGGTGCCAGGCTCTGTGCGGGAATGCAGGCTGTCCCAGCCCCACTCACAGACTGGAGGCACCATCCACCACCTCGGACCTCAGAGTCCTGTGGCCAGTGGCACTGCTCTGCCCACACTGGGGAGCCCAGGCCACATCACCACCTCCAACTTGCCACCTCAAATCAGCAGTATCATCCAGGGGCAGCTGGCGCGTCCCATGATATTTGAGAAGACTTCACAGGGTATGGTAGCTGGAGTGGGGACAGCTGCCACATTGTCTTTCAGTATGCCTTCCACCATTCCTCCCTCCAGCCCTTCTCTCATTAACCCTCCGCAAGGCATCCCCAATCCCCCCCTCACCCCTACCGGCATGTGCTTGGGGTCCATCAAGAAACAGATACCCAAAAAGCTGGAGGAGATTGCACCCTTAAACCCAGAAGTGGCCCAGCTGAGGAAGCAGTGTCTGGAGCACCACACTAAGAAGATGGAGGGTCTGAAGGAGGTCTTCAAAGACTACCTGATTGAGTTGTTCTTCCTGCAGCACCTTCAGGGGAACATGATGGACTATTTGGCTTTCAAGAAGAAGCCCTGTGTCCCGCTTTTCACTTACCTGAGGCAGAATGACCTAGACCTTGAGGAGGAAGAGGAGGAGGATGAGGAGCAGTCTGAGGTCATCAATGATGAGGTACTGTTACATCATTGATTGATCTATCATGTCTTATAGTCATACATTCAGAATGCCTCTACTTGTTATCCCATGTTTAGGCTATATGAATTTAGTTCAAATCTCTGTGCCACTCCCAGGTCAAGGTTGTCACTGGAAAGGATGGACAGGCTGGAACACCGGTTGCCATAGCGACACAGCTTCCACCCAATGTTTCAGCAGCATTCTCTACCCAGCAGCAGTTCCAGGTGAAGAAGGGTGATGGGGCACCAAATGACTGCAACCCCTACACAGAGAGGATGGAACTGATTGTCTTTGTCTCTCTTAAATGTTTCCTTTTAGATCTCCAAGCTCTTACTAACCCTTGGATATGTCTCCTCAGGTGCACCCGGGAGCAGCTGGCAGCATGACAAACACTGGAGACATGGATGCCTTTAAGAGGCAACAGGCAATGGCACAAGCAGGTAGGGCAAGGACAGCAAACTCCCGTGGCTCTTTTGTTGGTTTGTTTCCGCCCCCTTTTCTTTCTTTTTGTTATTTTCTTCCCTTAAATTGCTTCTGCTTTTAGATATTTGGCATCTTCTACTAGCGCTGTGTGTAGAAGTCTTAACCCAAGGAAGGAGAGGTGGTCTGTATGGTGTACAGAAGGTCATTGCTGTTTGCCGAGTGTCTTTTTTCCGTTATGAGGGTATTGTGTGTTTTAAATCCCAGATCAGGCTAAGAGGTCCCGGATTGAAGTTGGTCGCCATGGAATGATTTTCCAGCATCCTGGTGCTTTAGGATCACCTGGCGTTCCACTCCAGCAGCTTATGCCGACAGCGCAAGGTAGGAGTGCTACTACCAGGCCGTTCTGTGTTCTGTTCAATGCTGCTGGACGTGTTCTCAATCCTACGAGACAAACTGAATTCCAACAACGTCCCATCGTCTCCAACGAAAACCTCCAAGCAGCATCAACAAAGAGATCTTCATCCATCCGCTGGACAGACACCCCAGCAGGCCTCAGGAAGTTCAGGCTTAGCACTCCCAGCACGCTCTCTCTCTCTAGATCAAGGGCTAAAATGGGGAAGAAGATTTTTTTTAAACAAGTCTGAAGAAAAGGAGTAGCCTCTCACTGGGATGATGCCATGTCTTATGATTTTACTTTTTTATGTTTGATTGATCATCCGTCTCCATCCGTTTCTTCTTTTCTGAAGTTTTGTTATTCCCGATCGTCTCTGTTTGGACGGACTTTCCTGTGCCGTTGGAGCTTTGGCTGTTTCGCAAGCGGATCACGGAAAGTGAGAAAGGAGGAACCCTGGAAAAAATAAATCTCTTTCCAGTGGGGCATGTTTGCTCATTTGATGATTGCTTTTTCGTTCCTCCTTTTTTATACTCGTCATCATTCTCATCCATCCATCCGTCTCCCGCACCCCTGTCCCTCTCCGTTGTCTGTCCTTGCATTGTAAACATGGATTCACAATGCATCTCAATCCTATGTTCAGTTGTCAGTCATCAAGAGCATCAGTTGTTTCCTTTTCTTGTTCCATCATGCTCATCCTTTGTTGGTTTCCCCCATCTGTTTCCATGGCATATCGTTCTGACTTGGCCTCTTTCCCTCAGTTGTAGTAGGAAGGAGGGGAACCGGGTAGAGGAGGTTTGGTGCAGTCATGATATGTCACAGGTTGGCGTGGTGTGGGTGTGTCTGTCAGGGCCAGGTGTTGATGTGGTCTAGGTGATGATGTGAGTGATGGTCAGGGAGGGGTAGGACAGGTGCTGCTTAGTCAGGGTGCACAGCTCTGCTCAGCCCAGGCCTGCTGTCTGCAAGATCCCATGTGTGTCCTGCTCACTTCTCTGCTTTGCTATGTTCTGTGTTCCACAAAATAACTACATTGCTTCATGCATGCTAAACATATGGTGTTTTTGTGAATGCGCTTTATTTTATTTTACTATATTTTCTATTTCATTTGATTTGGAAACCTTTCTTCTCAGTCCCTCTGCTGAAGGTGTTTTATGCATGATTAGTTTAGCTGTTTTAATCACATTCTCTTAACATTTTAAAGATAATGTTTTAATTTTTGCATTAACAAACTTAGTATTTTATTTGAAGGACATGTAGATGATCACATAGATTTTTTTCTTCTGTAATCATTGTGCTGTATAATTTATTTGTTTTCACTCTTCCTCAACAGTAAGAACTACACTACTGTTGACTCATATAGTACATCCAATTCATACGTTCTGGGTAGCTGTTATAATAGATGGAGCTCTAAACACTATCCTTTCATAATCTGTTGATCACGTTCAGTCAGTACTGAAAAAGAATGGCTTACGTATGAGGAACAAGTGGCCCTCTGGCCTGACTACTGCTCAGTCCCTCTATCTGCAGCGTGTATAGTCTTTATTTTTTAACAGGCCTTTATTTCAGAGAGAGCAGGATTGGTATGACAGGACAACACTTGGATCGAGGAACCACAGAGCAACACTAACTCACAGCCACATGTTGTTATCCTTTCCCCCTCTCTTCACTCCTTCCCTTTGTGTTCCCTATGACTTGGTTACTGTGCTCCAGGCGGGATGCCCCCCAACCCGCAGACAGTCCAGATCCCCGGGCAGAAGCAGAACCAGCCACAGTATGACCCGTCCAAAGGGCCTCCGGTGCAGAACGCTGCCAGCCTGCACACTCCTCCCCCCCAGCTGCCTGGCCGCCTGCCCCAGGGCGCCCTCCCCATGGCTGGCCTGCCCATGGCTCTCTCTCAGCAGCCCCAGCTGGTGGAGAGCTCAGCCCAGGTAGCCAATCAGCTCCAGGCCCAGGTAAAGGTGCAGGGGGCTGGCCCCATCATGGCTCCAGTCAACCCCCACACACAGCTCCAGGCCCAGCTCCAGCAGCAGATGCAGTCTGGTCTTCACCTCCAGATGCAGCCTCAGCAGCTACAGCAGCCCCAGCTCATGCTGCAGCCAGGACAGGCGGTGAGTCTAGAGGATAACTTCCAAACATCCCATGTTTTTGGTTGTGTTCATAGGTTTGTAGATCAACGGTTTGTCTTTTCTCTCTCCTCCCTTGATCAGACTGTGACCCTCACTCGTCCTGGAGCGGACTCCAACCAACCTGTCCAAAGAATGATGACCAACTCCCTGTCCAACCCCTCCATGTCTCCTGCCCCCCTCAACGCCCCCAACTCACTCCCCTCCCCCCACACAATTGGCCCCCTCCGCCCCTCTGGGTCCAACATCAACCCTAACACACAGTCCAAACTGGCCGGGCCCAACGGCACCTCCACAGTCAAAATGGGAGGCTTTGGTCAGGGTTCGGGTATGCAGTCATCAGAAGGGAGCTCACAGGACAAACAAGCTGAACAGGCCAAAATGGTGAGGAGTTACCTCTGAGAAACCTATCACTCTGCAAGTGCTTTTGTTTTCCGGCTGCTCATAATGTGACCTCTCTCTCTGACCCCCAGGAGAGCCAGGTGCACCAGCGTATCTCTGAGCTGAGGAAAGAAGGCCAGTGGTCAGCCAGCAGGCTGCCCAAGCTCATGGAGTCCTCTCGGCCCAAGTCCCACTGGGACTACCTACTGGAGGAGATGCAGTGGATGGCAGCTGACTTTGCCCAGGAGAGGAGGTGGAAGATGGCTGCTGCCAAGAAGGTATGCTGGCTGAGTTCTCTTAGTGTACTCTTACTGAAGTAATGTCTGTGATTCTTATGTACTTGTACATTGTTTCAGTACTACTTGATCATAACTGCATATTGCATATTCCCCAGCTGGTTCGCACCTGTTCCCGTTACCATGACGAGCAGAAGAAGATGGAAGAGGGGTCCAAGAAAGAGGAAGAACTGCGGCTCCGTCACATTGCTAGCACCATCGCCAGAGAGGTGGAGTTCTTCTGGTCCAACATTGAGCAGGTACGTTTCTCTTAATGTGGAAACTGTTCCGTTGTTGTCCTTAGACCTGTAGTGTCATCAACTCTGTCCCTCCTTTCCATTTGGTTTCTCTCAGGTTGTGGAAATTAAACTGCGTTTCGAGATTTATGAGAAGAGACTGAAAATGCTCAGCCTACAGAGAGCAACGAGTAAAGGTGAGCGTTTATTCAAGAGCCTTTTGAAATTGTTTTACATAAATCAAAATTTCATAATGTCGTTTTGAATATATTGGTTATTCTTTGCGTCAAAGGACAAGATGTTAAACCTGCTCAGTCGACCGCAGTGAAAGCTGAAAAAGAGGTAGGTGGCTGCACAGACTCACTCTGGTTGTCCAGAATGTCCAGACACATAATCCGTTTTTTTTGCAGGGAAACGTATTCAAAATTATTCTCATTCACAGGAGCCCATTATGTCAACAAGGAAGCGAAAGTCCAGCACTTCATTGGCGGAAGAAGGTATGTGTGCAAAAATGTCTCCAGAGATGTTTTACTGGTTTATCATTTGAGGTGCACTGTTAAATTGAACAGTTGTTTACAATGTTGTAACTTGTCTATGGCTGTGTTCTCTCTTACAGTTCAGGATGAGGAGAGCACCATAGAGGAACAGGAGGCCATGGAGGTGGCAGCTGATCAGAAGGCAGAGTTGGGAGATCTGGCTAAAGATGGTCAGCATGATGCACTGTTTTCTCTTACTATAACTAGTGATCGATTTCTCCCAATTACCTTTATTTTGTTTTTTTCATTACTCATTAAAAACATGTAGGGTTTAAAAGCGCCCCTTAGTGTTTGTGTCTATATTGAGCCTTTCCTCTCTGTCTTGTATCGTTCTCAGCTGAGATGCCTCTGGATGCGTTGATGAAACAGTATGCTGGTGCCTACGCTGATAACTTTGACTGGCCCCTGCCTTCCCCACAGAGTGATGAGGAGGACAGGGATGAGACTGAAGGTGCACCTAAACTCTACATACAGTACCAGTTAAATGTTTGGACACACCTACTCATTCAAGGGTTTTTATTTATTTTTTACTATTTTCTACATTGTAGAATAATAATGAAGACATCTAAACTATGAAATAACACATCTGGAATCATGTAGTAACTAAAAAAGTAGCCACCCATTGCTTTGATGACAGCTTTGCACACTCTTGGCATTCTCTCAACCAGCTTCACCTGGAATGGTTGTCCAACAGTCTTGAAGGAGTTCCCACATATGCTGAGCACTTGTTGGCTGCTTTTCGTTCACTCTGCCGTCCGACTCATCCCAAACCGTCTCAATTGAGTTGAGGTCGGGTGATTGTGGAGGCCAGGTCATCTGATGCAGCACTCCATCACTCTCCTTCTTGGTAAAATAGCCCTTACACAGCCTGGAGGTGTGTTGGGTCATTGTCCTGTTGAAAAACTCATGATAGTCCCACTAAGCCAAAACTAGATGGGATGGCTTATCGCTGCAGAATGCTGTGGTAGCCATGCTGGTTAAGTATGCCTTGAATTCTAAATAAATCACAGACAGTGTCACCAGCAAAGCACACACCATAACACCTTCTCCATGCTTTACGGTGGGAACTACACATGTGGAGATCATCCGTTCATCCACACCGCATCTCACAAAGACACGGCGGTTGGAACCAAAAATCTCAAATTTGGACTCATCAGACCAAAGGACAAATTTCCACTGGTCTAATGTCCATTGCTCGTGTTTCTTGGCCCAAGCAGGTCTCTTCTTCTTATTGGTGTCCTTTAGTAGTGGTTTCTTTGCAGCAATTCGTCCATGAAGGCCTGATTCACACAGTCCCCTCTGAACAGTTGATGTTGAGAGGTGTCTGTGACTTGAACTCTGTGAAGCATTTATTTGGACTGCAATTTCTGAGGCTTGTAACTCTAATTAACTTATCCTCTGCAGCAGAGGTAACTCTGGGTTTTCCATTCCTGTGGCGGTCCTCATGAGAGCCAGTTTCATCATAGCGCTTGATGGTTTTTTGCGACTGCACTTGAAGAAACCGTTCAATGTTCTTGACATTTTCCGTATTGACTGACCTTCATGTCTTAAAGTAATGATGGACTGTCATTTCTCTTTGCTTATTTGAGCTGTTCTTGGCATAATATGGACATGGTCTTTTATCAAATAGGGCTATCCTCTGTATACCCCCCCCCCCCCTACCTTGTCACAACACAACTAATTGGCTCAAACGCATTAAGAAGGAATTAAATTCCACAAATTAACTTTTAAGAAGGCACATGTGTTAATTGAAATGCATTCCAGGTGACTACCTCATGAAGCTGGTTGAGAGAATGCCAAGAGTGTGCAAAGCTGTCATCAAGGCAAAGGGGGGCTATTTGAAGAATCTCAAATATAAAATATATTTGGATTTGTTAAAACACTTTTTTGGTTACTACATGATTCCATATGTGTTATTTCATAGTTTTGATGTCTTCACTATTATTCTACAATGTAGAAAATAATAAAAATAAAGGAAAACCCTTGAATGAGTAGTTGTCCAAACTTTTGACTGGTACTGTATATACTCAAACTGTGTACCAGTCTAGCTATGTGCCTCATGCTCATTGTTATGCCAAGATGATTAGTTTCAAAGCAAAAGGATTTGTAAACTGGTGGTGTTCCCTCAGTGGTGCTGATGTAGTCATTGTTCCCTCTCAGAGATGGAGTCCTCTCTGGACAGCCCCCACGAGGCTGTAGTGATAGACTCCCTGCTCAGTGTGGACCAGTATCGAGGTTCTGAGAAGGCCAGCCCCCCTGGTGCTGACGGGAAGCCCAAGAAGGACATAGCAGAGGTGGCAGCCGCCACAGAACTCATCCTACCGAAGGGCAGTGCCAGGACCACCACTTCTGTGAGTCATCACAACTGTCTCACTGACCCAGTCATTCACTGTTGGGTGTCATTTAACCAGTTTGTCAATGAGAAGAATTTGGCAAGATGAATGGGGAAAAAAGTGTAATAAATGAAATATATATATTTAAGAGGACAGTTACTGAGTTAACATGTACAAACAGGGAATCATTATGACACTTTGCTATGTGTCTTAGGGCCGCAGCCAGGCTCCTTTCCTGCTGCGTGGATCACTGCGTGAGTACCAGCAGATCGGAGTGGACTGGCTAGCCAGTCTCTACAAGAAACACCTCAACGGCATCTTAGCAGACGAGACAGGGCTGGGCAAGACTGTGCAGACTGTGGCCTACCTGGCCCATCTGGCCTGTCAAGAGGGTAATCTACTGCTGAAAGACTTTATTCAATGCTTCTCTTTTGTTTATTTATGTAAACATGTACGTATTTTTATGCATGTAAACATTCATATAGACTTATTTTATTTTTATTTTTCAGGCATCTGGGGCCCCCATCTGGTTGTGGTGAGGACGTGTAAGATCCTGAGCTGGGAGATGGAGTTTAAACGCTGGTGTCCTGGCCTCAAAATCCTCCTCTACCTCGGCAACAGACGGGAACGCAGAGCAAAGAGAAGGGTAACTAGTAATGATCTGTTTCAACAGGACCTTTTTCAGTAGACATCCCCATGAGATGAATTCCATTCCAGCAGAGAGACTTGGGCAGGACAGCAGCACCAAATGTGACAATAAATAACGCACACTTCTCAAGAATAGAATGCCTTAAAGATTTAAATGTTCTTCTCTACCCCTTTTTGGCTTCTGCTGTTATTTAAAATTGTTTACCCGTTTGTAAATGATTTCTCAGTCTGTCCATAACTTGTGGTGTTGTTGATGTGTCTCCAGTGGTGGGCGGAGGCCAACAGCTTCCATGTGTGTGTGACGTCCTACAAGCTGCTGCTGAAGGACCAGAGCCACTTCCTGAGGAGGAGGTGGAAGCACCTGGTCCTGGATGAGGTGCAGCTCATTAAGAACATGTCAGAGAAACACTGGGAAACAATCTTTGCTCTCAAGAGGTAACAACTCTTATTTTAGGGTAGCACCATGGTTACACCCCCACACAGACTGGTCTGCTGAGGGCTTTTTGGTCTCAGCTTAGCATGAAATGAAAGTTTAGTTTAGACAGCTTAGAAAGTTAAACTCTTAAATGTGGTTTTCCATGCATTTAAAATTGTTAGCGAGCTAGAGAAACAACAAAATCAAATGATGTGTTGGTGTGGTTTGTGTTCCAGTCAGCAGAGGATCCTCCTGATCAACACTCCACTCCAGAACACACTGAAGGAGCTGTGGACCATGATCCACTTCCTCCTGCCAGGCATCACCAGACCCTACACAGACTTCCCTGTCAAGCCAGGCACAGACCAGAACCAGGACTACTGCCACAAACTGGTCATCCGCCTACACAGGGTAAGTGTAGGGTTACAACCAAACCCCCCTTCTTTCTAATGCTTGTGTGTTGAGAGTTTGTTACAGTCAGTTGTCTGATATCCATCAATGTGATGGCGCTTTTATTTGTGGTGGGAAGTGATTGTGTATCTGAAGGTTCTTTCATTCCTAATGAGTGTTTCTGGTCATTAAAGAAGGTATCTTGCTGAACTTTATACCTGTGGGAATTGGCCTATATGGATAGGGCTGAAATGTTTCTTACAGAAGAAATAGAAAAAGCATATGCATAAGCATGGTAGCAATTGAGAGGGAAAGGTTTCGAGATTATGGGGAAATTATTAGACGAAAGGTGAGTATGCGACAGTTCACCTGACACAAGACTAAATCCAAATTACACTGTTGATTTTGTGAATTTTACATTTAATGTACTTTTTGCCGCATTGTTGATAACAAAATCTGAAAATACTCTGCATACATTCAGTAACATAAGAATATTCCTGGAAAATGTGGGGTAGGTGCAACATAAGACAAAAAAATGACATGGGTTTGAGTGAGAGGACTAACTGGTGTCTCCAAGTGATCACACACCTCTCCAAAGGGTGCCCAGTTCCTAAGTAATGTCAATGCACTTTTAGGACTTGAAGAGTCTTCAACTACAATATGTTTTTTTTTAGCTCTCCTAGCTGTGCCTTTGAGGAACTAGAGCAAGCACACTTTTTGGAACATAAGAGCAGGTACACTTTTTGGAAAACGAGCAAGCACACTGTTTGGAACCTGCATCCCGCCCTCACACAATTACTGTTGTTTACGCAATCCAAAAACAGTCAATTATAAATCGCAATCTGGATCAAGTGGGCATAATTTGAAAACCTGTTCTATTGCCAATATATGACTAGCTAAATTATAAAATACGATATAACAGTATTAGGCTTTCACAATGCAATCCAGGGAAACGGATCATCATTTTGATGCGCATAGAAAGGAGTCATGAGTGCATTCAGGTGTGTGTGCTGCAGCAAATTTTCTTCACAATAGACAAACCGGCTCATTCTGTAAAGAACAACCCAACATAGTGATCATAAACGTTGGCACTGTATGTGACATGAGTTTTATGATATGGAAATGTGAAGTGCAAATTTGGACTCAAATTTGGACAGGTGTTTTACTTGCTTGTATGACATCAAAGCGGTATTTATTATAATCCTCAACGTCTCATCTTTCTAAATACATAGTCCTCTTAATTTACAGCATTTCGCTCACCCAGACAACAAAAAGTGTGCAAAAGTTGCCCAATTAGCGGGAGGGATTGGGTGGATGAGCGGGCGACCGACCGGGCGACCAAGATGCTTAAGTTCAGAACGGCTATCAGTCAAAGTCCATACAGCGCTGTGAAGCGCAGAGCCAGAACTCTGACGTCATATATAGCATGTTACTTGTACAGTCACTGCATTCCAATTTAGGCGTTTATCGGTACCACTGGTCATCAGTATGATTCCCCTTTACCAGGGCAGAGCTGTTCATACCTAGATACCATTAGATCTGACATCCTTTCTCCTCTCTCTCTCCAGATGATCCAACCCTTCATCCTGAGGCGCTGTAAGAGGGACGTGGAGAAGCAGCTTCCTAAGAAGTATGAACACATCCTCAAGTGTCGCCTTTCCAGCAGACAGAAGAGCATGTATGAAGATATCCTCACTCAGCCAGGGTGAGTTGGGCCTCCAGACACCACATAACCTCCGCCTAATGTATGGCCAACCTGATTGTATAATTAGTATAGTATTTAGTTTTATACTCATAGACTGAATATTTGAGCACAGGTTCTATACCTGGAAACGCATTATGATTATTTGGTAGTGATAGGAGGGGGGAATCGATAGTTACATATGGCAATATTATTTTGGGACGATATTATATTGATATTTGACACCCAATTATCAATAAAATATATATATATATTTTGCTACTGTAGGTAGGGTTAGCTAGAGCTAGTCAGCTGTATCTGCGTCAAACTGGTATTTTTCATCTTATAGCTCGTCCTCCTTTTTAAATAGTGAGCCAACATGTTTTCAGCACTCTTATTTCCCTGACTGATCAGAACTTGTGTTCTCATGCCCTCTCTTGTCTCTGTGCAGCAGACATAGTGAGCAATATGTTTGGAACATCAAATCGTATCGAATCGCTATACATATAGAATCGTGAGAATCGCAATGCATATCATTTCGGCACCTAAGTATTGTGATAATATCGTATCGTGAGGCCCCTGGCAATTCCCAGCCCTATTATTTTGTTATAATCAGAGCATGGTTGCTCAAATGTTAAATTCACTTGCCCTCTTTCTGAATGTCTTGTGCTCTGTCCTCTGTCTGCCCGTAGAGCCCAGGAGGCATTGAAGACTGGTCATTTTGTGAGTGTGCTGCAGGTGCTGATGCAGCTGCAGAGGATCTGTAACCACCCAGACCTGGTGAACATCAGGGAGACCAGCAGCTCCTACGTGTGTTCCTCTCTGCAGTACAACACCCCTTCCCTGGTGCTGGGAGCCCTGCAGGACGACCAACGCACGGTAGGACTAGTAGGATACCAGTATCACACACAGCTTCAACACCTGAGGGTTTAATCCAGTTTATTCTATTTCATTAGTACTGCTCACCTGAGTGACGTGGAATGGAATTGATTAGATTGGTTTAGATGTAACTTTATCTGAGAACTTAGTCTGCACCTGCATATGAGGTTCAAAACACACTTGTATTCCTTTTGTCTCTTTTTCTAGAGCCTGGACCTGTCCCTGTTCGACTTGATCAGTAATGAGAACAGACTGACGCGCTACGAGACAGAGGAGGTTCTACCCAAACTCAAAGTCACCCGTCAGCTGATTGAGGAGATCCACAGTGCTCCGGACCCACCGGCCAGACCCAAGCCCTGCAAGATCAAACCAATGAGGTCTGTGCTCTACCTTTCACATCACATGGAAACCCTAATACACATGACATGGATGATTCCATTCTGTTACTCACAAAAATGGAAAATAAATCATATTTACTAATTCTATTCTATCATGTTGCATCAGTAGCGCTAGGCAGTGTTGCATGACCTGTGACCTTTATTGAGTCTATGATTTGATTGACAGGTTGTTCCAGCCAGTGCAGTATGGTACCAAGCCAGAGGGCCGTCTGGTGCCCATGACCAATACTGTGGGTCAGCAGCGTCCTCCAGCCACCACTACCACCCCCCTCACCACCACCGCCACTATTACTTCTACTGCCCCTCAGCCAGCCCAGACCAGGGGCAAGTCCCCTGTCACCACCACCACTACCACCACACAGGGTAAGATCTCACTATAGACCCCTAGACAATGCTACACCTTGGTATGCACTGGGGTTCACACGCGTTTCATGCTGTTTTCAAGTTGAATAACTTAATGAAGGAAATCAAACATTTGTCTTCATGCGTTTTGATAATTGCAGTTCATTGTTTACAGTATTTGTGTAGTGTGTATCACACAGATAATCTCATGATGTTACCATGTAATGTTTTGTAAAGTGTGATTGTAGTTGGTCATGACACTAAAAACTGCGTTTCAGTGAAGTTAATTAAACTAACTATGCATAGCCTGTGTGTGTCTCATTACCACCATTACATTTTCAAATTGTGTGGTTTATACATGTGTAACTAAAAGATACTGTCATCAACATAATTTCAGAACAAAATCCAAAGCAACATTTTGCTACTCCAAATGTATCCTAAAACAGAGAAGTCCAAGGCAAAGATTTGATTATATTGACATCCTCTTTTGACTCTAATCCTATCAATCCAAGACGGGTATAAACCTAAACTTGCTGATGGACCACCACCCTCGAGTTGTGCTGTTGAATTAACTGACGCGTTGTTTCAGTTAGCCCATCCCAAACTCCCTTGTACTTCACAGTGGCTGGGACCGCTATTCAGAAAGCCCAGACTACCTCTCCTGCCACCGGCACCACTGGGTCTGCTGTAGCATCCTCTGGGAGCTCCGCCGCTGGCCAGCATGTGGTGGGGGCTGCCCCCCCTGTGGCCCTGGGTCAGGCTCTGTGTGGCGCAGCCCAGCCCACTCTGTCTGGTATTGTCCAGGTCCCCAGGCCGGCCCTAGGCCCCACCCATGCCATCCAGTCCAGCCTGGTTCCCCAGAGACTGGTTCTAACATCCCAGGCCCAGGCACGGTTGCCTAGTAAGTGGCCTCCTCCCCTTCCCTCACCTCCCTTCAATGCATTTCTATTGTCCTATTTTACTGCAGAGAATCATTGAGTGAAGAAAAATAGCACTTTATAAATGAGAACTACAGCCATGTCAGCAGCATCCCCAAACAGCCTCAATCTTCCTCAGTCTGAAACCTGCATGTCCACAACCCAATGTCTGCTGCCATGACAGACCACACAATACTGGTTTAACCATTTAAAACTATATTTTCCCCCACCTAAATATTGGTTCTCCCATTTTACTAATATTTTGCTTCTTGTCAGCCCAGCTGCAGGAAGATATCCCAAAGTGTTGTTTCCTTCTTAGATTTTTTTTGTGTTGTTGTTATGTTTTCTTTTGACCCTGAGAGTTTGTGTACTGCTAAGCATGTGGAAATGACCCCGCTGACCTCAGGCCACTCCCTACCCTACCCCAGTGTGAACACACACAGAAACCTTTTCAATCGCAACTCAACACACAACACACAAATTATAGCACATACATTTATTTTTTTAGAGTAGTTTTATCTTTAAAAGAGCAAACTGCTATTTGTTGGCAATAATTTTATGAGGATAAAGGTGCATTATCTGTTTGCATGCCTGTAATAGGTGTGTTGTAGTTGTTGTTGAAAAGGCAGTTAAGTGCAAGCCATTGCTTTAACTGAATACATGTTTGTTGCAGGGTCTCTGTCTCACCTGAAGATTACTGTTTTTAGTTTCTTTTCCCCCTCAGGGTTGGCTAGAGATGAGTAACTGCAATGGTTCTCATGTTGTGGAGGGCAGCTACCTACACTCGTCCCACTCATTAACCCACCCATTGCATGTCTAGTCTCTCACCCTTCAACTAACTGAAATATGTCTTTATTTTGTATTTTTGGTGATGCAGTCGTACAGCTCTTTTAGTCTGTGGTGTTATTTGATTAGAGGTCTGTGTGTATGTACTCTTTCCTCCTGCTGAAGGTGGAGGAGATGTGTTGAAGATAGCCCAGCTGGCGTCCATAGCAGGCAGCCAGAACCGAATCTCCCAGCCCGAGACCCCCGTCACTCTGCAGTTCCAGGGCAACAAGTTCACCCTGTCCCCCAGCCAGCTCCGACAGCTCACCACTGGGCAGCCCTTGCAGCTCCAAGGTACACTCGGTAATGTACACCCAACATTTCATACTCTCCCTATAACTTCTCTTTTTCTCCCTGCCCTTTTTGTCAGAATGTCCTTCACTATATTGTAATCACTTACAACAAAGATGCTACTTTAAATGATACTCCTTTTAACTCTACCATGTATTTGGTAGAATCCGCTTCATAGAAATGCAGAGAGTTGGATAACCAATGTTACATGTATAGACATTCTTACTAGAGCAGTGGTCACCAAACGGCCGATCAACTGGTCGATCTTGAAGGCATTTCTAGTCGATCACGAAACATTTATATAAAAAACCCAACGAGAAAGCTTTGTATTCCTATTTTTCTGTCTCGCGCTGTTGGCAGTAGGTGCACGTAGGTGCGCTTGTTTCAGTTGCCCTGCGCGCCGGTGAAGTGTTCGCATTTTGAACCATTTCATGTGTCTGAAAGTACAAACTCCGCCTACTCGGCGTGCCCAGAGAGCAAATCAAGTGCACGTATAGGCCTGCCACTAGCCAATCGAATTTCTCAGATCACCTTGTCAAAGTAAGTTGATACTGTGATTTCAAAACGTTTAAAACCATGACTAGAAAGAGACTGTCAAGGAATACAGCAAAGAGCTGTGTTCATGTTAAAGTTTTTATTCACCACTTTTATAAGCCACTCGTGCTGCAACCAAGACTGCAGCTTCAATGAATGAGGAGCAAAGTGTATCGATGGGCTTGCGTTGTTATTGTTAGCGGCTGTGTGTGTTTTAATATTTCACTTTTTCTGGTCATAGGAGTAACAACATGAATTTGTGCATGAGGCAGAAATAATGTGGTGTGACTCGATTTTGGGTATCTGCTCGAAGACGGTGTCCCCTTTTTGGTCAGTCTTACTCTTAGCGTAGGGGGGAGAGCTGAGGGACAGTACGACGGTGAGAGGCGGACCCACTGATGCTCTCCCTCCACTGAGACTGACCATCAGATGCCATCACACTGGACCATCAGTCCAGTAAAAAAAATACACATTATTTCAATTTATGCTCACTCAGCTATGCCTCACAAGTAATAAAACAAATGATCTATTACCAGTGTGATCATATACCTCAAGTATAATTTTAAAATGGTCTGAGAAGAACAACATTGGCAGGGCAATTTGAGCATAGCCAATATGCAATGATAATGTATTGGGCGTATAGCCTACTACAACTCACATTGCTACAGAACTATTTTTAATAGGTTAATGTTGCATAGGCTTATGTTTAAGTCATGTTAAAAATAAAATTACATCTGAGCGGTAGGTAAATCTCAGCCTTCATTTTGACTCAAAGTGACCTCGGCTCAGAAAAGTTTGGGGACCACAGAACGAGAGTGATTAAAACTAAATGGTTATATCTGTTAAATGGTTTCTGTGTCGTCTGTGTGCCTGGCTGTGTGATGGTACAGGTAACATCCTGCAGATAGTGTCGGCCCCTGGTCAGCAGATCCTCCGGCCCCAGGGCTCTATGGTCATGCAGACGGTACCTCAGGCTGTACCTGTCTCCAACTCGTCCACCAGACCTGGCACCCCACCACCAGTCGGCCCTGCCCAACAAGGTAAGCCAGCCACCTTCAACTGTGAATAGTGCAGATAGTGCCTCAAGAATTACACCACTATGGGTGTTTCTCAATATGCATACTACCGTGCTCTACACTCTCATGCTCCGAGTGCATTCTCCAACGACGTTCTCTTGAGTACGTTCTTTTGAGGATGAGAGTGTGAAGAATGCATAAAACATTACATTTGAGAAGCGCTTGTACTCCCCCTGCTGTATTACCTCACGCTTCACCTCCCCATTCGCTGATCCGTCTTCCAGCCAGAACAATGGCAACAATAGATGAAACAAGATATACACAAAGCAACCGTTTTAACTTCATAACTATCAGCTAGCTATATATGAATCATAATAATGTAGCTATCCAGATAGTTTAACAGGCAAAAATGACATTTAACATTTTAGTCATTTAGCAGACGCTCTTATCCAGAGCGACTTACAGTTGTGTAGTGAGTGCATAAGTTTTCATACTGGTCCCCCTTGGGAATCGAATCTACAACCCTGGCATTGCAAACGCCATGCTCTACCAACTGAGCTACACGGGACGAATGACCTCAAACTATTATTATGCAAGATAGATGTAAATTCTTCGTGGGTAGCTAGCTAACAATTCTTTGTTTCTATCTGGCTAGCTAACAGTACTAGTAGCTAACCGGTTATCCCTATTGACTTACATTTACATCATTTAGCAGACGCTCTAATCCAGAGCGATTTACAAATTTGACTTATTATGGGCTTGCGATCTACGGTACGTAGGCAGGTAAAGATGCCAAAATTAACACAGCATGTATTTATTAACGTAGCAAGATAAAAAAATATTGTAGTCAGGCAACGTATGCCATGTGAATAGGCAACATTTCATTCCGAAGTCAGTGTATTTTCTCTCGCTTCAGCTCAAATAATGGCAGGAAGTTCAACTATTGAGAAAGTAGACTAAACCATTCCAACGTTTCTGCAACTACCTCCCCCTAACAAGCAACGTTTGAAATATGTTCTACCCTCTTGTGGCTTTGAGTCAGTGACTCTTATCACAGAGCGAAATTTTTAAGTATAAAGTGGAAATTGTGCGTCATTTTTTACATGGTTGCGTCATATTTCTTTGCATACCTTCCGTTGAAGCTTGCATCGATGCATGTTTCAAAATATGTACAAACGGAGTGCTCTCCTTGCTTTGTTTCACATACTTTGATTTGGACTCATACTCTGACCCTCCCGTGCTACAATTTGCGTGCTCCGAGCACGGTAGTATGCATTTTGAGAGACACTCTATGTCTCTGCTGTCATGGCTTACACTGTGTACACAGTCAAATATTACTCTATAGTAACCTTTCTAACAAAGTGATTTTGTTGTAATGGTCTTAGTCTTTCTCCCTTTTACTTTGAAGCTTCAGGGGTGACATCAAATGCCTTGGGGGTGAGCTCCCAGCCTGCTCCTGCTGCTCCTATTGCCTCTCAGGTGGGTAGAACAGGCATTGGTAGAACACAGAATAACATGAAATGAAAACATACCTATATTTCTGTAGCCCCCTAACCCATATATTCTCATTGAAGGGATGAAATGTGAATATGATGCCATTGTTCTCTGTGTCGTGTATAGGTGACGTCAGAGGAGAGGAGTCGTCAGCTGAAGGAGCGTCTGAGCCGCCTGTTCAGTGCCAACGAGAGGCGTTGTGACCGCAGTGTGCTGTACGGGGCTGACCTGCTCCAGGCCTGCTCTGTGACCCCAGGGGCTCCTCACTCTGCCCTGAGCCCCGGGGGCTGGAGGTGGGTGGGCAGGGACAGCTGCCTCAGGGCCCAGAGGACTCCTGTGGCCACCACCACACACCTCCAGTCTGCTCTGCTCTCCTCCACACACCGCCAGGACGCCAGCAGCAGCCTAGTCAGCAGGTGCCCAACTACCTGTGGTGGTCAATCACCTCACATCACTGTCGGATTAAACTTTTAATATCATGACGGACATAATCACACTGGTTCAAAATCAGTTACGTTTGCATACAGTGAATTGAGTTAAAGCCGACTTGAGTTCATATAGCCTTTTGTATTTCTTAGTAATTGAAAAACTCTCCTCTCTCTGTAGGTTATCATGTGTTGTCCCTGCTGCAGTAGCTCGTCCCCCTTACCTGTATGCAGCCAATCCCCCAGCTCCCTACAGCCTGGAGCAGAAGTCGATCAGTCGCAGGCTCCAGGAGGCCGCCACCCCCCACAGCACAGAGATCCACAGCCTGGCCTCTGGACACCTGCTCCAGTTCCCTGACCTGCAGCTCATGCAGATGGACTCGGGTGAGCTCAGCAGAAGATTATATATTTAGCTGTGCCAGGGCTTAAGGCTTTCCTATAAGCCTTGCTAAACATAGGTAGTCCATTGTCTGCTTGGGCTGCACACTTCGTTCGAATTACAGTAAAATTAACATAATGTTTTGCTCCGAAGGTAAACTTGAGGCCCTGGCCATTCTGCTCCAGAAACTGAGGTCAGAAAATCGCCGCGTACTCATCTTCACACAGATGGTGAAGATGCTGGACATCCTGGAGGCCTTCCTGGACCACCGGCAGCTCACATACATCCGTGTTGACGAGAGCCTGATCACAGAGGAACGCCAGGTAAAACCCCTTTGTACCAAGGAAATAGTCATCAACTGCACCTGTTTGGTGCCTGTGTTATAGTGAGTTGACACACAGACTTCTATCAGTGTTGCATTACTAGGGTTAATTGTAGTTCTCACTCAGTGACAGCCTGCCTCTCTTTCCGTTTCACCCTATCTTACACCGGAACCTCTTGAATCAGTGCAGTGTTCTGGCACTATAAGGGGACAGAGTACTACGCTCACTTCACTTCCTACTGGATGTTGGTTCTACTAGGGCCTTAAAGAAGCACACAGTTGCAGCTCTAGAGAACCTATGGGGCTTTCTGGCTTTTTTGTTGCTGTACTTTTTACTCTTCTGCTACACTTGCTATTTCATTTTCTGTCTGTCCAATCAGATGTGTCTGTCTCTTTTCTAACTGACCTCTTGTTTAATTCTCCTTCCCTCTCTCTTGTCGGTGAGCTGAGTGAACTATACCGGAAGTGTTTGGTTTAGGGTTGACCCCATTTAGTCAACTGGTCGATTGTTTGGTCCATAGGCTGTTGGTCGACTGAGATTTCTTTAGTCGAGCAGTAGCCTATATATATATATATATATATATATATACTACCATTCAAAAGTTTGGGGTCACTTAGAAATGTCCTTGTTTTCGAGAAGAAAAGCATTTTTTTTGTCCATTAAAGTAACATCAAATTGATCAGAAATACAGTGTAGACATTGTTCATGTTGTAAATGGCTATTGTAGCTGGAAACGGCTGATTTTTAATGGAATATCTACATAGGCGTACAGAGGCCCATTATCAGCAACCATCAGTCCTGTGTTCCAATGGCACGTTGTGTTTGCTAATCCAAATGTATCATTTGAAAAGGCTAATTGATCATTAGAAAACCCTTTTGCAATTATGTTAGCACAGCTGAAAACTGTTTTGCTGATTAATAAAACTGGCCTTCTTGAGACTAGTTGAGTAAAAAAGCCATATCTCAGTCTGCCCATCTGAATCTTTTCTTTTTATTGGCCAGTCTGAGATATGGCTTTTTCTTTGCAACTCTGCAGCATCCCGGAGTTGCCTCTTCACTGTTGACGTTGAGACTGGTGTTTTGCGGGTGCTATTTAATGAAGCTGCCAGTTGAGGACCTGTGAGACGTCTGTTTCTCAAACTAGACACTCTAATGTATTTGTCCTCTTGCTCAGATGTGCACTGGGGCCTCCCGCTCCTCTTTCTATTCTGGTTAGAGCCAGTTTGCGCTGTTCTGTGAAGGGAGTAGTACACAGCGTTGTACGAGATCTTCAGTTTCTTGGCAATTTCTCGCATAGAATAGCCTTCATTTCTCAGAACAAGAATAGACTGACGAGTTTCAGAAGAAAGTTATTTGTTTCTTGCCATTTTGAGCCTGTAATTGAACCCACAATTGCTGATGCTCCAGATACTCAACTAGTCTCAAGAAGGCCAGTTTTATTGCTTCTTTAATCAGCACAACAGTTTTCAGCTCTGCTAACATAATTGCAAAAGGGTTTTCTAATGATCAATTAGCCTTTTAAAATGATCAACTTCGATTAGCAAACACAACGTGCCATTAGAACACAGGACTGATTGTTGCTGATAATGGGCCTCTGTACGCCTAAGTAGATATTCCATAAAATATCTGCCATTTCCAACTACAATAGCCATTTCCAACATTAACAATGTCTACACTGTATTTCTGATCAATTTGATGTTATTTTAATGGACAAAAAAATTGCTTTTCTTTCGAAAACAAGGACAGTTCTAAGTGACTCAAAACTTTTGAACGGTAGTGTATATGCAGGCCTCAACCACTTCCCTGAGAGCACATGATTCAGTATATCATGCAGCCCTCAGGTTCATTACCAATCAATAACGTCTAACACGTGATCTCTACAGCGCCGTTGGCTGGTCGTCATTGACCTTGCGTAGGCTTAAACAATGGTATACACTGATTTATAAGGCCATACTGGGTAAAATGCCACTTTATCTATGTTCTTTTTTAATCAGGTCAGTAAATAAATATCAATTACGGTGCCATTCTCATTTTGCTTTTAACAGTACCAAGAATTAGAACAGGTCCTGGAATTCTCTCCTGAACATTTTAAAATGTGATGATCTAGTCATGTTGGTGAAGTTCAAACACTTGGTCAATGTAAATATCAGTGTAATTGTCTTTTAGGACAGCTGTTTTTTAGTTATGACATTCGTGTTTCTTTTCATAATATGTAATTGTTGTACTGTATGTGTCTATAGTTTTGTTCAATGTTGTGTTAGTGTATGTAAGTAGTTTTGTCTGAAACGTTGTTCCCCCTGCTGCTGTTGGACCAGGTCTCTCTTGAAAAATAGATTTTATCTCAATGAGAAAAACCTGTATAACTAAAGGTTAAATAAAAAAATGTTCAATCAAATCAATTGCGGTTGGACACCCTCTAGTCATTTGTGTGTCTTAATTAGGCTATTTGATCAAACAGTGTGCTTAAACCACCAGACAAGCTCAGTGCATATGGTTGATTTGATTAAAACACATAGGATGTGTCTATGTGGAAAAATACGTTAAAAAATGTATACCAATTGATTGAGTGGGATAAGATATACAACTCTAAAGCCCTCTCCTTGGGACTAATCTGTGTCTATGTTTCTCATGATATTCCCCTCCCTCCCATCAGGAACATATGAAGACCTTCAACAGGAACAGACAGGTGTTCTGCAGCATCCTGACCAACCGTTGCTGCTCGGCCGTGGGGACAGTGTTCGACGCAGATACCATCATATTCTACGACACGGACCTCAACCCCAGCATGGATGCCCGCACCCAGGAGTGGTGCGACAAGATCGCACGATCCAAGGACATCCACATCTACAGGTAAAACACAGGAAAAATACATGTTGTGCCGTAACTCTACATACAGTGAGGGAAAAAAGTATTTGATCCCCTGCTGATTTTGTACATTTGCCCACTGAAGCAATCAATCAATCAGATTCCAAACTCTCCACCATGGCCAAGACCAAAGAGCTCTCCAAGGATGTCAGGGACAAGATTGTAGACCTACACAATGCTGGAACAGGCTACAAGACCATCGCCAAGCAGCTTGGTGAGAAGGTGACAACAGTTGGTGCGATTATTCTCAAATGGAAGAAACACAAAATAACTGTCAATCTCCCTCGGCCTGGGGCTCCATGCAAGATCTCACCTCGTGGAGTTGCAATGATCATGAGAACGGTGAGGAATCAGCCCAGAACTACACAGGAGGATCTTGTCAATGATCTCAAGGCAGCTGGGACCATAGTCACCAAGAAAACAATTGGTGACACACTACGCCGTGAAGGACTGAAATCCCGCAGCGCCCGCAAGGTCCCCCTGCTCAAGAAAGCACATATACAGGCCTGTCTGAAGTTTGCCAATGAACATCTGAATGATTCAGAGGAGAACTGGGTGAAAGTGTTGTGGTCAGATGTGACCAAAATGGAGGTCGTTGCCATCAACTCAACTCGCCGTGTTTGGAGGAGGAGGAATGCTGCCTATGACCCCAAGAACACCATCCCCACTGTCAAACATGGAGGTGGAAACATTGTGCTTTGGGGGTGTTTTTCTGCTAAGGGGGCAGGATTTTTTTTTTTGGCCATTTAGCAGACGCTCTTATCCAGAGCGACTTACGGGAGCAATTAGGGTTAAGTGCCTTGCTCAAGGGCACATCGACAGATTTTTCACCTAGTCGGCTCGGGGATTAGAACCAGTGACCTTTCGGTTACTGGCACAACGCTCTTAACCACTAAGCTACCTGCCGCCCCGGATAGGACAATTTCACCGCATGAAAGGGACGATTGACGGGGCCATGTACCGTCAAATCTTGGGTGAGAACCTCCTTCCCTCAGCCAGGGCATTGAAAATTGGGTCGTGGATGGGTATTCCAGCATGACAATGACCCAAAACACACGGCCAAGGCAACAAAGGAGTGGCTCAAGAAGAAGCACATTAAGGTCCTGGAGTGGCCTAGCCAGTCTCCAGACCTTAATCCCATAGAACATCTGTGGAGGGAGCTGAAGGTTTGAGTTGCCAAACGTCAGCCTCGAAACCTTAATGACTTGGAGAAGATCTGCAAAGAGGAGTGGAACAAAATCCCTCCTGAGATGTGTGCAAACCTGGTGGCCAACTACAAGAAACGTCTGACCTCTGTGATTGCCAACAAGGGTTTTGCCACCAAGTACTAAGTCATGTTTTGCAGAGGTGTCAAATACTTATTTCCCTCATTAAAATGCAAATCAATTTATAACATTTTTGACATGCATTTTTCTGGATGTTTTTGTTGTTATTCTGTCTCTCACTGTTCAAATAAACCTACCATTAAAATTATAGACTGATCATGTCTTTGTCAGTGGGCAAACGTACAAAATCAGCAGGGGATCAAATACTTTTTTCCCTCACTGTACCATATCAGGATATGAAGAAACGCATACTGTTGTTGCTGCTGAAATGTAAGTCAGTGTGAGGTTGGTAACTCGGTGTCTTTATATCCCAGACTGGAGAGCGGGAACTCCATTGAAGAGAAGCTGCTAAAGAACGGCACCAAGGATCTGATCCGAGAGGTGGCTGCACAGGGGACTGACTACACATTGGCATTCCTCACACAGGTAAGATCCTTTACCCTCACACCAACCAGACCCCTGCTCTGACTGAAAATCATACTATATTTGGTTATTAAATACGCTGTGTCTGTGTGTCCAGCGGACCATCCAGGACCTCTTTGAGGTGGAGGCCGGCTCGGGGGAGAAGGTTGAGGAGTTTGTGGTTCTGCACCAGGAGCCGTCTCCCTCTGAGGCCATCTCTCCCCGCGTGGCTAGGCCCTACATCCAGGCCCTCCACAGCATCAGCCTGGGCGCCCCGCCACCAGAGCAGCAGGAGGAGGAGAGCCAAGAGGGTCAGGAGGAGGACCTGGAGAAGGAGCTGCAGGTCAAAGAGGAGCCCTCTCAGCTGGAGGAGCTTAACGCTGTAATGGACCAGGTGATAAACGGTCATGAAGTGCCTTCTTCCAGTATATTGTAGACTACATACCAGGGAACTAGCACATCTGTTTCAACTAATACTGGATTGTCTTCATAATTTCCTCCATTAGCTAACACCAATAGAAAAATATGCCCTGCAATACCTGGAGTATCTTCATGTCAGTGAAGACGAACTTGTTGCTAAGGTAAGACTCAAACGCTCCTCTCAGATATCCAGAGGTACTACTAGCTTGTAAGACATTGCATTCTAAAAGTAGCACAAGGCCACAATTACAAATGTTTTATAACTTTAATAATACTTAATGTGAATTTCAGGAGCGACTGTTGTGTGCGAAGAGAGGCTGGGAGATGCAGCACCTCCAGAAACTGAAGGCTGAAGACGAGGAGAGGATTATCATTGAGGAAGAGGAGGACCTGTTCACGTACACCAGAGAGGATGCTTACAACATGGTAGGCTTTCACTCTCTCATCAGGAGTTTATTCATTACGCCTATTATGTTGCAAAATGTTTTTTATTCGGAAGCGAATGAAACGGGGAGGGACCTAACTGAATTTGTCCAATACAAACTCTTGTTTTGCTCTGTTTACTTCTTAAACGGTAAATGGTTTCGGTAATGAATACGCCCATGGTGTTCACAGTATTCAAATAAGAGAACAGAGCCTGTAGTATATTTCCGTTGTAAATCAGTGGTAATGGGAGCTAAAGTCTCTGTTTCAACAGGAGTATGTGTTTGATGGAGAAGATGGCCAAACGGAAATCATGCCGGTAAGTCGGTCACATAATATCTACATGACCGTATCTGCTTGTCCTGAGGTATATCATAATGTACCCTCTTATTATCCATGAGCCTGTCAGCTGTGTTAACCTATGGTTCTGGTTGCAGCTGTGGACTCCACCTACCCCACCGCAGGATGACAACGACATCTATATCGACTCTGTCATCTGTCTGATGTACGACTCTGCTCCCATGCCTGAGTCCAAACTGCCTCCGGTCTACATCCGCAAGGAGCACAAGAGACTCAAGATGGACCCCTCAGGTAAGGCTTTGTATTCTGGTAACAAACATTACAGTATAGTACATTGTGTGTGTGTGTGTGTAGTGATGCACTTGTGATCTCTGTCCTGTGTTTTCTGCCCAGCAGCAGGCAGGAAGAAGAAGAAGGGTCATGGGGAGACGGTGATTCCTCCTCGCTCCCTCTTTGAGAAGGCCAGCATGCTCAAGGTCCGCCGAGAGGGCAAAGACCAAAAGAAGAACTTCTCCCTGAAGCAGCAGGCACCCTTTGCCAAGCCTCTGCCCTCGCTGGTCAAACCTGCCATGGAGGCCGGACAGGACAACCCAGAGTGGCTCATCAGTGAAGACTGGGCCCTTCTACAGGTACTGGGCAGGCTGCTACTGGGATGGCTTGTTTTACCCAATACTGTGGTTGGTCTAATGAAAAGTCTGTCATACTGTACGTTTGCTAGATACTCTCAGATGAGGTGAACTAAAGTATACTTAGAATCTAAGCTATTTGTAATGAATGATATATTCTGTTAGTGATGTAAGTGTCCCCTCTCTCTCTGTGCGTGGCAGGCTATGAAGCAGCTCCTGGAGCTCCCTCTGAATCTAACCATCGTGTCTCCGGCCCACACCCCCAACTGGGACCTGGTCAGCGACGTGGTCAACTCCTGCAGCCGCATCTACCGCTCGCCCAAGCAGTGTCGCAACCGCTACGAGAACGTCATCATCCCCCGGGAGGAGGGCAAGGTGAGCAGACATGACGACAGTTACTAAAGTGTGAGTGGCACCAAGACATCATGTTGTTTGAGCATTCAGATAATTAAACCATACTGGTTTTGTTATTCATTGTAGTTGGTGTATGAGGCGAACCCTAAGAAGAAAACCAAGAGCATATACAAGGTACATTGACCTACTCTTGTCGTTTACAACGGTCGTAATGTTTGATGCACAGAGCCCTCTTGATTGACCAGGATCCCTCCTTTTTCCTCCACCAGTCTAAGAACAGCCGGCCACTGCGGACCTGTCAGATCTACACCCAGGATGACAACGCTACACACATCCAGCTTTACAACAGCCGCTTTGAGCTCATGAAGATCATCGCCAGCAAGAGGAGTCCCCCCATCAAACCACTGTAAGCACTCAAGATCTTTCCTCTGTACCTTGAAATAATGCATGTTGTGTCATCAGCCTCATGATTAACATGCTCACTGTGCAATTCTAAAATAATTAAATGTTTGCTTCTTTTTCAGTCTGGGGATGAACCCATTCCAGAAGAACCCAAAACATGCCTCCGTCCTGGCAGAAAGTGGGATCAGCTACGACAAGCCCCTCCCTCCCATTCAGGTGGCATCACAACGTGCTGAGAGGATTGCCAAGGAGAAGAAGGTGTGTACTGTTTACTGTATGTTCTCTCTAGATTTGGATTAATGGCTAAGTTTGCAGTGTGAAAGTCAGGTATGTTGTCATGGTGGTATGCACTCTGATCTTCAACATGCTTATTTGTCTGTGTGTGTCCTGTCAGGCCCTAGCGGAGCAGCAGAGGGCTCAGCAGCTAGCGCAGCAGGCTGGAGCCCCCCAGGCCGTGGCCGGTGCTGCCCAACCCCAGGCTGGGGCTCCCGCTGCAGGCCAAGCCCAGGCCCCGGGGGTCCTCCAGGCCCCTGCAGCGGCTGGAGCAATGGCTGTACCCAACACCGCTGTCCTGGTGAGAATGGGGAATTTTCAATGTCAAACCAAGTTGTTCTTTGTGGTAAAAAAAAACAGCTGTCTAATGAGTAAAATAGCATAATTTTGAAATGTATGTATTTTTTAAAGAATGTTGTGTTTTTCAGCCTGGAGCCATAAAGAATGCTGCTGTGGGAACAACCATTCAAGCTGGTGGGTTTTCATGGCACACACATTGATCATTACAAAACATTTAGTCTGTAATCCAATAGTAATTTCTAAAATCCTTTCAGCCACCGTAGGGGGGAACCTGATTGTGAACACAGTGGCTGGAGTTCCTCCAAGTCCGTTCCAGGCCAACAAACGGCTGGCATCACCAGGTCAAGTCATACCAGGAACCCTGTCTGTAAGTCACTCTATTTATTACCTCTGCCATTACTTCACTCAACTCCTAGGGAATCTTTCCCAGTTTTTGTATTATAACACACGATGATCATTGTTTGAGAGTATAGTATTCAGTAGTCTTGCTGACAGAGTGAATGGTCCTAGGAGGTGTTGGTCTGGTTGAGTTAACATGAGGCCCTGTGCTCTTGTCCCTCCTCCAGCCTGCCGGTGCAGCAGGAGCCCAGGTGGTCCATTCCCAGCAGAGAGCCGTACCTGCTGCTGCCTCGCCTGGGGAGGTGGTTGCCATAGCTACGGGTCAGGGTGTCAGGGCCGTTACCCCGGTGACTGCCTCTGCAGTGGTGTCCACCACTCTGACCCCAGTGCAGTCCCAGACCCGCTCCCTGGTCACACCAGGTACTGCACACATTGTTCACACTGAACACACAGTCAATCAAATGGATTTTATATAGCGCTTTTGACAGCAACATTTATCATTTACGTGCTTTACAGTAACCCATCAAATAACATAACATAACATGTTGGTTGTTTCTACACTGAACGCATTCAACAAAGAACATAAAAACATACTACTTAGTTAATGAAGTGCCCTGTCCACTGGTTTTATGATCTGACTCCTCTCTCGCTCTCTGTCCCCAGCCACAGGCATGCAGCTGCCCCAGGGGAAGCCCATCACCCAGGCCCACCTCCACATGCTCCGCCAGCAGCAGCTCCAGCAGCAACAACAACAGGCTGCCTCTCCACAAGGCATCAAGGCTGTGGGAAAACCCCAGGTACTGTACTCTACAGAGAAGCCCTTCATTCACTGCATGGCCTCCTAGAATTAGCTTATTCTGATGCTCACCCACTACTCACACTATCTGTGGCTAATACTAAGTTAGCCGTTTTGTCTTGTAAAGTAAAAATATAGAAACCATGCATTTCAGCCAGCCCTCCTCCAACGGTAAATCAGTACAGACATTCAGTGATCTGACCCTTTATCTCTCTCCCTGGCTGTAGGAGCTGCTGAAGATGCACAAGCAGAAGCTGCAGATGGCCCAGCAGCAGGCAGGAGCAGGCCAGCAGCCTGTCCAGGTGCAGCCAGCCAACCCCCAGGCAGCCCTGGCCAACCCCCAGCTGGCCGCTATAGCTGCTGGTCCCAGAGCCGGAGCCGTGCTGGCTGGCACCACCGTAGCCAACCTGCAGGTGGCCAGACTGGTAAGGACCAACTTTATCACCTGCTCTTGTTTTTTTTCTATAGTATGTAGCCCAGCCTAGGGAATTAGGCACCACTGTGTTGTGCTGATCTTGACTATTTTCAGACTGGTAAAGGCCACTGCTGAGATGTGTCCATTTTGAAGAATGATCTACTAGAGGTAACCCGGTTTGAGCTTAATTAATGATCCATTGAAAGTGTTTATAACAGTTTCTGTCTTTGCCTGTGCCCAGACACGGCTGCCCACCCAGGGTCAGATCCAGGCCCAGCCAGGGCAGACGGCCCAGGTGACCCTCACCAAGCCCCCCGTGGTCTCTGTGCCCGCCGTGGTCTCCTCCACTGGCGTCACCACCCTGCCCGTCACTGTGGCTGGCATCAGTGTAGCCATTGGTCAGGCCCAGAAAACAGGTGGGAAAACCCTCCTATTCTCATCAACTAATTAGACTGAAACATTCATAATCTGCTCCTCTTAGCACAAACATACATTCTCTACCAATGATAACACACACACACATACCCTCACACTCCCTCTGTTGGGTTACATATCCTGAGGTTGTCCTGTCCCTGAGTCACAATGTCTCTGGCCTGTCTATCTGTCTTGCTTCCTCTCCTGTAGGTGGGCCAGTGTTGACGCCCCCGTTCCCCCAGATGCAGGTGCAGCAGCTGCTCCAGATGAAGAAGCAGCAGGCAGCTGTGCAGGCAGCAGCAGTCCAGCAGAAAGCAGTGCAGCCACAGCCAGGACAAGCCTCTATGCAGCAGAAGGTGGGGCTCTGGGGGCAAACAGAACCACCACAGTCTACACAACCACACACATACAGTTGAAGTCGGAAGTTTACATACACTTAGGTTTTTACTTTATTTTTATTTCACCTTTATTTAACCAGGTAAGCCAGTTGAGAAGAAGTTCTCATTTACAACTGCGACCTGGCCAAGATAAAGGTTGGAGTCATTAAAACTAGTTTTTCAACCACTCCACAAATTTCTTCTGGTCTGATGAAACAAAAATAGAACTGTTTGGCCATAATGACCATTGTTATGTTTGGAGGAAAAAGGAGGTTGCTTGCAAGCCGAAGAACACCATCCCAACCGTGAAGCATGTGGGTGGCAGCACCACAAAATAGATGGCATCATGAGGAAGGAAAATTATGTGGATATATCGAAGCAACATTTCAAGACATCAGTCAGGAAGTTAAAGCTTGGTCGCAAATGGGTCTTCCAAATGGACAATGACCCCAAGCATACTTCCAAAGTTGTGGCAAAATGGCTTAAGGACAACAAAGTCAAGGTATTGGGGTGGCCATCACAAAGCCCTGACCTCAATCTTATAGAACATTTGTGGGCAGAACTGAAAAGGCGTGTGCGAGCAAGGAGGCCTAAAAACCTGACTCAGTTACACCAGCTCTGTCAGGAGGAATGGGCCAAAATTCACCCAACTTATTGTGGGAAGCTTGTGGAAGGCTACCCGAAACGTTTGACCCAAGTTAAACAATTTAAAGGCAATGCTACCAAATACTAATTGAGTGTATGTAAACTTCTGACCCACTGGGAATGTGATGAAAGAAATAAAAGCTGAAATAAATCATTCTCTCTACTATTATTCTGACATTTCACATTCTTAAAATGTTGATCCTAACTGGGGCGGCAGGTAGCTTAGTGGTTAAGAGCGTAGTGCCAGTAACCGAAAGGTCGCTGGTTCTAATCCCCGAGCCGACTAGGTGAAAAATCTGTTGATGTGCCCTTGAGCAAACCAAGTATGTAAACTTCAGTCAAGAGCTGGTGTTCTCTTGTTGTTACCGTAAGGGTATGGGCTGGTCAGAGGTGCATTTCAAATCTTAACAGAAAGTGGTGCTCTTGAAACTGCAACCCAGTCTATCCATAGTTGGATATCTGATTATGAAAAAAATGCATGCCATAAATTCTTGTCAGAAGAATCTTGTTGTGAGCCTAGTTCTGCTCTGTGTCCTCTCCCTCAGCTGGGTACCCAGCAGATGACAGTGCCGGCTACCCAGCAGCAGAAGGTCACCTATGCCACCACCACCCAGCTACAGCCTAGCATCAAGACCCAGTTCTTCACTACCTCCATTGCCCAGGCTGGGAAACCCACTGGGGCCCAGCAAATCCAGGTAGACACTCAGATCTTCCTACTCATATACTCCAACCCACTGGCCTTTAGGCACTGGGTCATAAATGTATAGAGCTATTATCCAGAGGTGTGAGGAATGCTAACTGCTTTCCCTTGTATATTAGGTGGCTAAGCTCCCCCAGATAGTGCAGGGGCAATCCACTGTGGCCAACATCCAGCAGATTGTATCATCTCCACAGCAGGTAAGAGCACTACCCCCCACAGAAGGGCAGTATCATACAGGATCTTTGAGGCGTATGGAATGAGAGATGACCGGTTCTGCTTCCTGTGTGTCTTAACCTTTCATGACTATTCACTTCTTCATGACTTGAATACAAGTCAGCTTGGTTAAATTGCACAAATATTTTGTGCGTTGTGACATTTAGGTAATTTCCCATAAACTGTTGTGAAATGTTATGACAGTGAATAGAGGTACCAAGAGGGCAGCATAGTCTGGTAACATTGTAGCGGTACTGTTAGAGAGGGGTAACGATAAAGATGTTGTTGGGGCGCCAGGCAGGTATTAACCCTGCCGAAAGGAAAATAGTAGGATAGAAAGAGTACCACTACCAGACACACACACACATCAGCCGAAGAGACTAATAATAAAAAATATATTTTTTTAAAAATACAAAAAAAGCGACTAATAATAAGATATATATATATATATATATTTTTTTTTTTTTTTATGCCGCTACGGAAGTGGCGCCTGGACAGGGATGGTCCCAAAAGATTACAACCACGACCTAGAGCGGTAACACCGGCGATCGAATTAAAACACTTTACAACTAAGCACGCTGAAAATAAACAAGACTTCTGCAGAGTTGCACACACTGTCAAACTGCTGCGCCAACCGAGAGCTCTCCACAGAGAGCTGGAAGAGCTATCTTTATTTCCTCTTTCCTGACTGCTGATGCGCTCTTAAATGTGGCAGCACACAGTGAAGGCTTCGTGCAGGATTTCGCCACAACATGTTGTCGTCTGTCTGATCTAATGTGACCCTCTTCCTGTCTCGTAACAGATCCAGCCCCAGTCTGTGGCCCTGACCCAGGCTACATCCTCAGCCCAGCCCCAGGTCCAGATGATTCCAGCAGGCACAGCCACAGCCCAGGTGGTTCAGCAGAAGCTCCTCCAGCAGCAGGTGGTGACTGCAGCCGCCTCGCCTCAGATACAGACCCCCCCTCCTCACAGCCCGGCCCAACAGGCCCCAGTTTCCACTGCAGCCGAGTCCCCAGTACAGCAGCAGCCAGCCAAGGGCCAGGCTCGCGGCGGGGCCATGAGGGGCAAGACCCAGGCCAAGCCCAGCGGGGGCAGCAGCTAGGAGCCCACAGGAATAGTTAGAGCTCCCCTCTCAGCTAGGCCAAGCAGGACATCTCATCAGTGTAAATGCACTCAGTGACTCTGAGGAGCAGTGTTATGAAGCAGTGGTGGAGTCCAGTCTGAGGTGGCTGTGTTGAATCTAACCTGGTTTAAGGAACTGTTCCATGTAAAGGAATGACATGTCTTTTAAGAGTGTCATCTTCTAGCTACAACACAGTTCTGCAACTGTCGGCCGTTTCCCTCGCCACTGTTTCAGAAGGTCTCCCTTGGAGGCAACCTCCCCCCTGCACCAACATCTAATATAAGATCAGAAAAGCCGAAAAATAATATTCATGACTTTTTAAATTGATGACTATATTAATGTTACTCCATAGATATCCTGTGGCTTGGGCCTATGGGCTGGTGCATAGCTAATTTGGGGAATGTCAATTTGAATAATGTTTTGTGTATTCATACATTGTCCCTGTCCCCCTTGATGTTGTTATTCTCATGCTTACCGTTTATGATGTCTGTAATTTCATAGTTGTTTATAGATATAGAAAACACCCTTCTGGTAAAAAAAAAAAAACGTATCTTGATCAAGTAATGCATAGTAATGTGACTACATCTCAGTAGTACAGGTGCATTGCCTACCAGAAGGATATAGGTGAGAGGACTTCAGTTCTCGTGCTAATTGTCATTGTGAAACACTTATTCACACACATCAAAGCCCTGAGCCATTAGTGATTGCAGTTTTACCCATAGAAACACATTCACATAACCTTTTTCAGTGTACCAATTGAACATTGACAGAAGTGTCCCTAAAAGTTAGCTAGCTCCTTAATTTTTTGCATAAGAGGGAGCTTGCCAGGTCCAAAACTGCCCCAATAGTGATTGTATCACAGTTATAACGACCACTCAAAACACAAATGAAATACAATCTGAATGTAATATTTTGTTTTTTTGTAACCTTCAGACATTTAATGGATAATAATGCACGTTCCTTTAGTCAATTATGTTTATGTAACAAATACACTGTAAACATGTACTTTAGTATCTTGTGTTTTCTCATAAATATGCCATTTTTTATTGATGTTGAAGAAAAAAACTGTAAATAACAATGAAAAAGGAAAACATTTGTACTTGTAAAGTAGTTGTTTTCATTGGATTTTTTCAGCCTAATTGTAATAAAGTGTTTTGTTTTTATACACAATATCTGGTCATTATCTTGTCTGACTTTAGCCGGCAGGTAGGTAGCTTAGTGGTTAAGAGCGTTGTGCCAGTAACCGAAAGGTCGCTGGTTCTAATCCCCGAGCCCACTAGGTGAAAAATCTGTCGATGTGCCCTTGAGCAAGGCACTTAACCCTAATTGCTCCTGTAAGTCGCTCTGGATAAGAGCGTCTGCTAAATGACCAATTATTATTATTATTATTATAATCATATCTTGTTGTAAGTTTGAGCTATGTAGTTCATAGATTCTATTACCAGCTATGAATCTGAAGAAAGCAAATTATTGTGACTGTGTCTCTGGCACCTGGGTAAGTGATGGGGTAAGCAGGCATCCTACATTATCTCCCAAGGCAGGCAGTATTACCACTGCACCGGAGTAACCTAGCTATCTATAGTGGCAACCAGCTGATATTTTCATTAAATGAGTTATATACAGTCGTGGTCAAAAGTTTTGAGAATTACACAAATACTAATTTACAAAGTCTGCTGCCTCAGTTTTGAAGATGGCAATTTGCATATACTCCAGAATGTCATGAAGAGTGATCAGATGAATTGCAATTAATTGCAAAGTCCCTCTTTGCCATGAAAATTAACTTAATCCCCAAAACACATTTCCACTGCATTTCAGCCCTGCCACAAAAGGACCAGCTGCCATCATGTCAGTGATTCTCTCGTTAACACAGGTGAGAGTGTTGATGAGGACAAGGCTGGAGATCACTCTGTCATGCTGATTGAGTTAGAATAACAGACTGGAAGCTTTAAAAGGAGGGTGGTGCTTGAAATCATTGTTCTTCCTCTGTTAACCATGGTTACCTGCAAGGAAACACGTGCTGTCATCATTGCTTTGCACAAAAAGGGCTTCACAGGCAAGGATATTGCTACTAGTAAGATTTCTCCTAAATCAACCATTTATCGGATCATCAAGAACTTCAAGGAGAGAGGTTCAATTGTTGTGAAGAAGGCATCAGGGCGCCCAAGAAAGTCCAGCAAGCGCCAGGACCGTCTCCTAAAGTTGATTCAGCTGCGGGATTGGGGCACCACCAGTGCAGAGCTTGCTCAGGAATGGCAGCAGGCAGGTGTGAGTGCATCTGCACGCACAGTGAGGCGAAGACTTTTGGAGGATGGCCTGGTGTCAAGAAGGGCAGCAACGAAGCCACTTCTCTCCAGGAAAAACATCAGGGACAGAATGATATTCTGCAAAAGGTACAGGGATTGGACTGCTGAGGACTGGGGTAAAGTCATTTTCTCTGATGAAACCCCTTTCCGATTGTTTGGGGCATCCGGAAAACACCTTGTCCGGAGAAGACAAGGTGAGCGCTACCATCAGTCCTGTGTCATGCCAACAGTAAAGCATCCTGAGACCATTCATGTGTGGGGTTGCTTCTCAGCCAAGTGAGTGGGCTCACTCACAATTTTTCCAAAGAACACAGCCATGAATAAAGAATGGTACCAACACATCCTCCGAGAGCAACTTCTCCCAACCATCCAAGAACAGTTTGGTGACGAACAATGCCTTTTCCAGCATGATGGAGCACCTTGCCATAAGGCAAAAGTGATAACTAAGTGGCTCGGGGAACAAAACATCGACATTTTGGGTGCATGGCCAGGAAACTCCCCAGACCTTAATCCCATTGAGAATTTGTGGTCGATCCTCAAGAGGCGGGTGGACAAACAAAAACCCACAAATTCTGACAAACTCCAAGCATTGATTATGCAAGAATGGGCTGCCATCAATCAGGATGTGGCCCAGAAGTTAATTGACAGCATGCCAGGGCGGATTGCAGAGGTCTTGAAAAAGAAGGGTCAACACTGCAAATATTGACTCTTCGCATAAACTTAATGTAATTGTCAATAAAAGCCTTTGACACTTATGGAATGCTTGTTATTATACTTCAGTATACCATAGTAACATCTGACAAAAATATCTCATAACACTGAAGCAGCAAACTTTGTGAAGACCAATATTTGTGTCATTCTCAAAACTTTTGACCACGAATGCACCACGAGTGCATTCGGAAAGTATTCAGACCCCTTGACTTTTTCCACATTCTGGAAAATACTGAAATATCACATTTATATACATATTCAGACCCTTTACGCAGTACTTTGTTGAAGCACCTTTGGCAGCGATTACAGTCTCGAGTCTTCTAAGGCATGACGCTACAAGCTTGGCACACCTCTATTTGGGGAGTTTCTCTCATTCTTCTCTGCAGATCCTCTCAAGCTCTGTCAGGTTGGATGGGGAGTGTCTCTGCACCGCTATTTTCATGTCTCCAGAGATGTTCGATCTGGTTCAAGTCCGGTCTCTGGCTGGGCCACTCAAGGACATTGAGACTTGTCCCGAAGCCACTCCTGCATTGTCTTGGCTGTGTGCTTAGGGTCGTTGTCCTGTTGGAAGGTCCCAGTCTGAGGTCCTGAGCGCTCTGGAGCAGGTTTTCATCAAGGATATCTGTACTTTGCTCCGTTCATCTTTCCCTCGATCCTGACTAGTCTCCCAGTAACTGCCGCTGAAAGAAATTCCCGCAGCATGATGCTGCCACCATGCTTCACCGCAGGGATGATGCCAGGTTTCCTCCAGACGTGAAGCTTAGCATTCAGGCCAAAGAGTTCAATCTTGGTTTCATCAGACCAGAGAATCTTGTTTCTCATGGTCTGAGAGTCCTTTAGGTGCCTTTTGGCAAACTCCAAGTGGGCTGTCATGTGCCTTTTACTGAGGAGTGGCTTCCGTCTGGCCACTCTAACATAAAGGCCTGATTGGTGGAGTGCTGCAGAGATGGTTGTCCTTCTGGAAGGTTCTCACATCTCCACAGAGGAACTCTAGAGCTCTTTCAGAGTGACCATCGGGTTCTTGGTCACCTCCCTGACCAAGGCCCTTCTCCCCAGATTGCTCAGTTTGGCCAGGCGGCCAGCTCTAGGAAGAGTCTTGGTGGTTCCAAACTTCCATTTAAGAATGATGGAGGCCACTGTGTTCTTGGGAACCTTCAATGCTGTAGACATTTTTTGGTACCCTTCCCCCAGATCTGTGCCTCGACACAATCCTGTCTCGGAGCTCTACGGACAATTCCTTCGACCTCATGGCTTGGTTTTTGCTCTGACATGAACTGTCAACTGTGGGACCTTACATAGACAGGTGTGTGCCTTTCCAAATCATGTCCAATCAAATGAATTTACCACAGGTGGACTCCAATCAAGTTGTAGAAACATCTCAAGGATGATCAATGGAAACAGGATGCACCTGAGCTCAATTTCGAGTCTCATAGCAAAGGGTCTGAATATTTATGTAAATAAGGTATGTTTTTTATTCTTAATACATTTGCAAACATTTCTAAAAACCTGTTTCTGCTGTGCCATTATGGGGTATTTTGTGTAGATTGAGGGGGGGGAAATAATTTAATCCATTTTAGAACAAGGCTGTAACGTAATTTCTTTAGGAAAAAGTCAAGGGGTCTGAATACTTTCCGAATGCACTGTAGGTTTACTTTTTAATAACACCTTTCCTGTTATATAACCGTTGGGAAATAATGGGAACTACTAATGTATAATAGGTTAAATCAAAAGATGGCAAGAAAACTCTCAACAGTGCCGTCTGTTTTCCCCTACTGGCTGGCTGCTGACAGTGACAGATATGTCAGAAGAGAAAACATTTATTGGGGAAGGAGGGCAGATATTCAGGCCTACAGCCACTCAGCAGATCACTGCTGGATGGGAGGGCATGCCACACAGTGTCAGGAGAGTCAGACTTTGTGTAGAAGGGCTATACACACCACTATAGTTAATGTTGCTTTCACTGCTAACATTAAAAAGACCAGTTTTGTAATATGGTTTGTTAACAGGAGCGCATAAGAAGACAAAGGCCAATTTAATGCAATGAATGATGTTTAATCAATTGTCTAAGTTACTTGGTCTTTAAGGACCGTTTGAAGGGCATGAACAGGCAGAAAACATCCTAACGAGAAGTGGATGTTTGTGAGGTGTCTCCTGTTGAGAGCTGGAGGGGAGATCCTCTGGCAGTGGAGACACGGCAGCATGTGGCACTATGCTGGGCACTACAGAAGAGAGTGAGACATGCACTTTAATTTAGAAATTATGTAATGTAGGCTAACATCTATTCTCAGTTACAACTCAACATAACTTACACTGATAAATGAGAACCAACAGCTTGAGGTTTGGAGAATATAAATAATTTTACATAAGAGATGACTATTGATAGGCTTTATAACCTTTGTAGGGTTATTTTGCAATAGCATTTCTTTATACATCAATATCTAAAACAGAAAATGTCCTGTTCTGTGGATTTACGCATGCTATCTTCAGCAGTGGTCTGTCCTTGTTCTGATTCGGGGCAGTGGGAATCCTTCTTGTTCCCCTTCTTGAATAGCTAATTATTTAAAGAGAAAAACATGTAAAAAAAAAATATAACAATGTCACAGCTGAACAACCTCATGATAATAACAATCACATCTACCACACCAGCACAACAACATTTATGATTGGTTTTGGAATGAATGGATGGTTTATGATTTTTTACACTCTGAATAGCATTGTTGACTCACATTGTCTCCCACAACTGTTAATTTAAATAAGTCTGCTGTACCTTTAAGTTGCTTGTCAGCCTGGCCAGCCTTTGTAGGAAAGATAACTTCCCGCTGCTAGCCCTCACATCCTCAGCCAGTGGAAGAGCCTCAGGCCCGGTGGCTTTGACTGATGTTCTTGAGTCTGCCCTCAATGCCTCATTACATCTGTGGAGAAGCACTCCACTCAAAGACTTGACAAGAATCCTATCAAATGAAGAGTCCTGAGTCGACACGGCCAGTTGGAGGATTTTCTCTGAGCCAAACTCCTCCAACATATTTTTGTAGACGGCCCTGTAGACTTTATGAATCCTCAGGTTCTCTGGATAGGCTTGGGTCTCAGAGCAGCCTGACCATGCACAGAAGACAGCAATAACTTTGGGGATCAGGTCTTGTGACTTGCGTGTGACGTCAACTGGGTACTCTTCTGTTGGGGTTTGGATTTTTGTTAGAAGTCTCACCACTAACATGCTGATGAGGCCGGTGAAGTCATCATCACTGCCCGAGTTATCAGAGGATGGGGTTGGAAGTGGGACATCTTTGACCATGTCTGGGCTGGTTGACATATCGTCCCTGACAATGTTCCGAGCTACACCAGAACAACTGGTGGTATCCACTTCCTCTGCATCCATGTTGGCCTTAACGTTTCGTGCTGCATTGGAGGTCTCACTTGTTGCCATAATGACGCCAGAAAGACACAGCCGAGGGGAGGTCTTGCCACTCAATAGAATGCCCACATCAGTTATAGTGGTTTGAGATGCTTGGAGAGATTCAGTTGGAGAGGACCCTCTACTTTGTGCATCAGAAACCACAGAGTCCATGACCTGGCTTACCATAACTTTGGTAAAGAGACTGACTGTGTCACTAAATACTGATGAAGAAGAAGAGCATGAAATTCTATCTTCAGACACTCTAGCCAACACCCTGGCTCCCTGAGCCAAACTCGTTGAAGTTAAAAAGGGCACAAGGCTAGGAAGCAGGAGGCACTTAACAGACTCCTCTGCAAACAGCTGAACCAGCTCGTAAGTTGTGGGCTTCCCCACCTTGTCATTCCTCTTCAGCTTCGAAAGGACGGTATCAGATGCACTCTTTCCAGCCACCACTGTCAGTACCAGAGGGGTCAAGTTGCTCTCAGAAATTATGCGGTTGACTTGGTGACTGAGATCACGGGAGAGAGCACCAATCCTACCCTGAGATATGAACTCCTCCAGTCTAGCTATTGCAGCTGTTATATCAGGGTGAGATGTAACCTGCCCTTCTGCCTCTGGATATACCTTCTTCATGATGGTATCTGCTATCGCAAACATGCTTGTTCTGGCATCACACACCAATGTTTTTGGCTTAGTAGATCCGCTCATGTCGATGACTGAGCATCTTACAATGGGCTGAGAAGTACTCTCGGGTAACTCAGAAGGGATGGGAGTGCCAGGGAGTGCAAATTCCCACTCTGACTTCTGTGATTTGGCAGATGAGGATGACAACGAGGAGGAAAAGCGCAGTGACTCTTGATAGACCAGTTCCTCGCCACATTCACTGCTTATCTTCTCAATGTTCTCCAACATAGTTCCAACCACTTTATCTATTTGTGAAAGCTCTCCTGCAGTCACCATTTGGTCAGATTTGGACAGTTCTTTCTGAATGGAAACCAGAATATGGCTGAGGGTCTTTTTGGCTTGAGCCTTCATTGCTTTGGCTTGTCTTTGCAATGAGAAATAATTCCTCATCTTTGCCTTCACATTGTTGTAAATAGTCTTTGCAGTTATCCAGATCTTCTTCTCAGATACTTCCACACCAGTCTGGGAGCTTACAGCTGCAGCCTTAGTGGCTGAGGTTTTCTCATCACTCTGTTGAAGCATAGAGTCTGCCTGCCATAGAGTAGTAGGAGACTCTGTGGGCAGGAAAATGCTCTTCATATCGTTCGCAATTGATCCAACAATTTCAAAAGCAGCTGAATCTGTATGCTTTGAGGAAATGGTGGATAATGCTGGCGACACTTGAGAATCTGTCTGGCTTGAACCGACTTTGCTGGGGAAGCGATCAACAGATTTGATCAGTATTTTTCTGACTTTGTTCGTTGCCTTCATCTGAAACGCTTCACTCGAGAGCTTCTCAATGACTGAGGCTGGAGTAACACTTACTCCCTCCAATGATGAGGAACTGGACACAGGCATGTCTTCTAGGTAAGACATGATACCATCCAAAAAGTCACAGACTTCGAGGGAGTTGTAAGAGGAACTCTCTACAACACTGGATGTGGATTCCAAATCTGCCCTCTCGGACCTATACACAGTCACAATCTGAGATAAGATCTCTTTGGTGCAGGGCTCCAGGTTTGGATCACAGAGAACAAGTAAAGGTTGGGAGTTCTCACTCTGGCATTTGCGGAGAGCACCACGTCCAGTTGAGTTGACCTCTTGCAGTATGGCCTCACTCTTACTGAGCAGAGGAGAGTTCTGACCATGAGTACAATCTGCTCTGGTCTCAAATGTTTTCTCTTCTACAGAGCCAGATGAATCACATCCACTAGGAACAGCAGATGAACTGCATTCTGCTACGGTTGATTCACTCCTTGCTGAAGATGAGTTCAGGGTTGAACCAGGCAGAACACTGGAGTCAGTGTGCCCCAGAAGCACAGCACTGGAGTCAGCTTTCTCCAGAAGTTCTTCCCTTTGGACTGCATCTCCACCCATTCTGTGAAATAATGCTTTTATCTTTGCCTGGAGCCTGTCACAGAGTCTACGAGCCGTGTGAAAGGGTTTTCGATTTGGCATACAGTGTCCCACTTGGGGATCTCTCTGGGTGCTTGTTGGCTGATCTAATTCAGCTTGCTTCACGATGTCTTTGACATCTTCAACAAAGCTATCAATTATGAATGGCGCCTCCGAATCCACATCGCTCTGTATGAGCCGAGTGGCCACGGAATGATGGATCGTGTCAGGGTCAGACACATTCATCAAGCTGGGAAAGACAGTAAATGAATGGGAATGTTGAACCAAACCAGAGGTTCCCCTGCGGAACCATCTCACTAGAATCTCGCTCACAGCCTTTGAGGCTTTGGTCTTGAACCTGGTACTTGACAGAATGTCAAGGTTTATCACCAATGCCTTGCAAGATATACACGAGTTCAGCTCCTCTGGGAAAGAAGATTCATCATCGTCCAGTTGCTCCACTGCAAGGTCACTGCCAGATGTCAACATTTTAACTTTCACAGCCACTTCTTGAAGCAGCTTAGCCGATTCTGCATCTTCTCCTTTCAATTCATCCACCATGTCTGCAATAACATTGATCACCTCTTCTGTTGCAGATGGAATGTAGGAATCAACATCTAACTGTTCCTCTGGAGTGGTGTGATCATAGAAAAACTTTTGGACCACGTTAATCATCTGTTCAGCGGCCTGAGTACCAGAGGCAATCGGGGAAGACCGCCCTGAAATGGTTCTACTGATGGTCACAGAGAGGGCCGAGTTGAGCTGTTCAAGCACCTCCTTGATAAGACCAACGGTCAGCTCAGGTGGGCAAGAGGCCAAAATCTCATGGTCAGAGAGTTGCTCCTGGACACTGCTGATGATACTGTCCTCTGGCATTCCCAAGTGGACTTTCATTGAGGTCTGGGAACTTTAAAATGAACAAGCAAAGCATGTTAATTGCTGTCTGAAGTTGGCAAATCGATCTCTTACTGCTAACAAATCTAACAAGCATTATAATTGTAGTATTCTAAATTTAATTTACATGTGTGCATTAGATATCGCAAAACACACCTGCTTGAAAGCTGGGAAATATTTAAAATGGAGAAGTTATTGTGCATCAGTTCATGAGTGTTAGGATTAACCGCACACACACACACATACATTATGGGGAACATACAGTACCTCTTGGAAGAGGGTGTGCTAGACCTTGGTTGGTGAGCCCTGCCGCCACTGTTACACATCTCCTTCGCCAAATAGTTCACTTCCTGGATGAGCTCCAGTCTTTTCTGCTCAAAGGCAGTGAAGGATCTTGCACTGCCGTCCCTCTTGGGTGAGTCAGTGTTGTCATAAAAGCCAGTCACCCCTAGAATGCGCGCCAGGGCCGGCAGCAGGATTTGCAGGGTGGTCTGTGCAATGAAGTTGACAATGGTCTTGCACAATTTGGCAAGCTGTTCCTTTGTCATCTGTATTGCACAAACAGAACAGAACACAGCAGGTTTGGCAATGAAACTGTGATGTAAAGTATCCTATATTGAACAGAATGCATGTTATCAAAATCATTTTTCTTGTCTGTGACTGAATTCAAAGTTGGATCAAGTCTGACAGATTAATGAACGTAATAGTAGAATATAATTATGATTAATTCCCCTCTCTTGATTCAACAGAACATTCCCAAATCAAAGGTCAAAGGCTGTTGGAGAAACGTACAGGTTTTTGTAATCCTTTATAGATCACCTGCCACTGCCTAGAAAATAAAAAATAAAAGTGTTTTAGTTGCTTTTTATTTCCTACTGCACAAGAGTTTAGACATGTAAAATATGTGAGGCTAGAGCAAAACATGGCCATAACATACTCATCAGTAAGATTGCGCATGAATGAGATGAGGATTGGGTAGCAGTACTCCATCTCATCTTTGTTGCCTGGGCCGAATGCAGCCTTAAGAGCATTCTTCTCCAGGAGCTCAATAACAGATCCTCTGTCCAGGTGTTTATTCCTCAATCCTAAAGGTGTGATTACCGTAGAGGAAAATTCTGGATAAATCAGACGCTTTTTCTCTTAATACAATACTTTGATAGTCCTATTGTAACAATTCTATTGAATAAATCTATCCATGCAACATTTCTTACTGACTCCAGTTTGACTACAGTTAGACTAAAGTTTCTAACATTACCTTTATCTGTGATATGCAGGTTTAGAGAACCAACATACTACAGAGGGAAAATCTATGACCTGCATCTGTATCAGTGCCCTGCTCCTCTGACTTCTTGGCACTACTTTTCCTCTTGGCCTTGGATAGAATAGAATAGATTCCAGATCACAAATAATAGACATGTTACATCAGGTCAATGCAGCTAATGTGACAATTGAGTGTTACTAGTCTAGTAGTTGCCCTGTCACTCCTGCCATCTTACCTTTCTTGTCTTCTTGGGCTCCTTCTTGAGCTGGGCCACTGGTTCTTCCTCATCAACCTTCCCCTCCCTTTGAGGATCATCATCATCTCTCTGTACTACCTGAAGGAATTTCATGTGTCAATGTCCTAGAGCTACAGCCATATCAGAGCTAAACTGGTGATTGACTTAATAGAGATAATTGTACATTTGTTTTGCAATAGCCTGTTATCTTAAATTACTTTTCCCTTATTTACATTACGAAATATTTTGTGTCATTTAACCTACCTTTTCTTCATCCATAATAACATACAGTATTTTTTATCTCGAAGAGCATGTCCTTGTCTGTGTTGATTGCATTCATGTAGAGTTTATTGAGGACAATATTGCAAGCACCGACTAATTAAGGGCTACATGCTACGTCATGGGATGTTAGACCTTTATGACGTTACTCAATATTTTTTGGGTGGAGCGCGGGAGGGGCTACATTAACATTCACTCATTAATATTGGGGGGGGAAATATATTGATCTAATCAGATTACACAATTTCCAAGGTGAAACGTTTTCGATACCGCTAGGCCCACAATAAAACAATTTCACTAGGCACTGCGACTCAGCAGGTCAAAACAGAAATAAACCTGGTCTAATTTCGTGTCCCCCTCTTGTGGATTTATTTCAGTACCCCATGTACCGTGAGCCAGTTGATAGATTTTCCGGCTACTTTCCAATTATCCCTCCTTCCTTCCAAAGCTTGCACTTGTTAACTGATTTGAAAGGAAATTACTGGTATAAGAAATATGGTGGAAACTACTGCGTCCCAAATGGCACCCTATTCCTTATATTATTGGGACTTATCCCTAGGCTATAGCCAAGACCTAAGCCAATTAGCCGTGAGTGCGAACCCAAAAGATTGGATAGCCAAAGGCCTATCAGAGCTAAATTGGTGATAATGTTCTACCTTCCCCAATATTTCACTTACCTTTTATTCTACCATAGCAAATGTTGTATCTCGAAAAGCATGCCCTTGACTGTGTTGGCTTGGCTACTTTCATGACGAGTTATGATAACAGGCCATTTCTGCAGACGCCGATTTTTAGTCCGCTACTTCATGGACTGTAGGAGTCTATGACATCACTATAGTTTTTTGGGGGGAGGAGCGCGGAAGAGGATAAATGGTTTTAAGAAATATGTATATGTCGCCGTCTTGTGGATTTATTTAGGTACAACAATGTATTGTGTAGGATCCAATTGATTGTTCTCTCCACATCCATGTCATAAACAGACTACTCCCTCACAGAGCAATACACATGAACAGAAAAGGGGTAACACTATTTGTTCAAAAGAACAGATTTGTTGTGAGAGTGATACAATTATTTGATACACCGCTAGGTGGCACTGTGGTGTCAGCATTGGGTTTATCAGGCACTTTTTTTCAGAAAACCCATGGCAGGTATAGCATCGCTCCCATGTCTGCACCTCCCTCTTCCATCAAAAACAAATTCACAGTTGATAGTTAGCTAGGCTAGGGTTTAGGGTTAGGGGTTAGGGTTAAGGTTAGAGTTAAAGTTAGGGTTTAAAGGGTTAAGGTTAGGGTTAGGGTTATGGGGAAGGGTTAGCTAACATGCTAAGTAGTTGCAAAGTACCTAAAAAGTAGTAATTGTTGAAAGTTTGCTAATTAGCTAAAATGCTAAAGTTGTCTGTGATGAGATTCAAACTCATAACCTTTGGTTTGCTAGATATTCGCATAATATACCCACCCATCCACCCTGACCAACCCCCCTACTTTAGTTTTTGCCTTAAATAACCATCTGTCTTATGTAACCATACCAAATGTAACATATCATAATAATGAGTGTCCCGGATTTACATTTACTATGTTACGTCTAGTCTATGAGACCAGGCTGATCACAGACATGAACAGAGTATTGGGTCATTGTAGTTATGAGTGTGAGTGTTAGAGATGGATTGGAGGATTTCGCTGTGGGTCACTGCAGAGCCAAGGATGGAGGACTTTTGTGGCATGACATAAAACCAGAAACCCCAGCATAGAAGAAACCTCTGAGGGCAATAATGGCTGGTCCCATTAAACCTGGGGGAGGAGGAGGTCGAGCAGACCTCAGAGGACAGTAGATGAATCACAGCACTTTACCAATTCATTCATATCATTAATGCTCTTGCTCCCCGAGTGTGTGTATGTTTGTGTGTGTGTCTGACAGAGGCATAAAGGGATGAAATACAGAATTGTGCGTTCATTTGTTGTAGCTTTCTATTATTGTAATAGATCATTTTCATCCCTAGCTGTTTAAGAATGAGGCTAGATGAAGTCAAACTTCTCAAACAAGAAACATGGTTGACTGTTTCCCTTCAGTCGATTTCCCTTGTAAAACAGCAATGATGCAAGCGCTCTGATCTAGAAGCCAGTGAAAATGAGAGGTTTTACAGCTAGCTGTAAGTTCAGCGCAGGAAAGCCCCCATGGCAGCACTTTGGAGTGTAGTGTTGTGTTTTCATATCTTCATTTCCATTGACAGTGTCTCCCGCATTCCGTTGGAGTAGATAAAGCAGTGCTGGGTAGAGCTGGTGGGGCTTTCAGAGTCAGTTTAATCTTTCTGCTCAGGCACAGGGCGGGCATCCAATGAAGTGTTTACCTCAGGAGGGCCTGATTTACCTCTGAGTGGTGACAAATGTGAGAGAAAGTGGGATCCGGGTGCTCTTTTACCGTTTTATGGATCTCTCTCTTTTTTCACAGAGCCGTGTAAGAAAGGAAGAAATGCCTTGGCTAATGACAGTCATATTCCAGTCAGAGAGATACTATCAATATTTGTGTTGACACATAGCCTACTGCTTCAGCCAGGATAGCAATACAGCTGGGGATTTGTTGTCGTCTGTCTGAGACGGAGATACTGGCTGAGCAGAATACATTTAGAGGTACATTGGGAAGAAATTCCTGCATATATGAAAAAGCCCACCCTGTGGGATTGAATAGGTTCAGCTGTCCCTGTGGTGTTCCTGTAATTATTTTAAGGTGATGCAAAGGAACATACAGTATATATCCTAGAATGGACAATATTTTATATTCTATTCTACCTTAATCCTGATAATAGAAACACATGGCATATCTATTTACCTAGCTTGCCACACTAAGGGATGCCATGGTCGGTCGGTTTCTGGTCACGGAGTCCCAGGGGGCTACCAACTAATGATGAACCTGCAATGATGCAGATCATTGCTACTGAATAAAGCCTACGTTTGTGTGACGTTCAAAGACCTTCAGCCATACCGAAGGGTTGTCATGGAAACCAATTGCTCCCCCTCTCTTCGCATATTATAGGGTTGGCAAAACAATGCCACGTGTCGTACAGTGTACCAATACTAATACCTCTATATGTGGTGTGGGTCATATCGATATACATTACCAGTCAAACGTTTGGACACACCTACTCATTCAAGGGTTTTTCTTTATTTTTACTATTTTCTACTTTGTAGAATAACAGTGAAGACATCAAAACTATGAAATAACACATATGGAATCATGTAGTAACCATAAAAGTGTTAAACAAATCCAAATATATTTTATATTTGAGATTCTTCAAATAGCCACCCTTTGCCTTGACAGCTTTGCACACTCTTGGCATTCTCTCAACCAGCTTCACCTGGAAAGATTTCCCACATATGTTTAGCACTTCTTGGCTGCTTTTCCTTCACTCTGCGGTCCGACTCATCCCAAACCATCTCAATTGGGTTGAGGTCGGGGGATTGTGGAGGCCAGGTCATCTGATGCAGCACTCCATCGCTCTCCTTCTTGGTAAAATAGCCCTTACACAGCCTGAAGTTGTTTTGGGTCATTGTCCTGTTGAAAAACAAATAATAGTCCCACAAAGCCCAAACCAGATGGGATGGCGTATCGCTGCAGAATGCTGTGGTAGCCATGCTGGTTAAGTGTGCCTTGAATTCTAAATAAATCACAGACAGTGTCACCAGCAAAGCACCCCCACACCATAACACCTCCTCCTCCATGCTTTACGGTGGGAACTACACATGCGGAAATCATCCGTTCACCAACACAGCATCTCACAAAGTCACAGCGGTTGGAACCAAAAATCTCAAATTTGGACTCCAGACCAAAGGACACATTTCCACCGGTCTAATGTCCATTGCTCGTTTTTCTTGGCCCAAGCAGGTCTCGTCTTATTATTGGTGTCCTTTAGTAGTGGTTTCTTTGCAGCAATTCGACCATGAAGGCCTAATTCACACAGTCCCCTCTGAACAGTTGATGTTGAGATGTGTCTGTGACTTGAACTCTGAAGCATTTATTTGGGCTGCAATTTCTGAGGCTGGTAACTAATGAATTTATCCTCTGCAGCAGAGGTAACTCAACGTCTTCCATTCCTGTGGTGGTCCTCATGAGAGCCAGTTTCATCATAGCGGTTGATGGTTTTTGTGACTGCATTTGAAGAAACTTTAAAAGTTCTTGAAATGTTCCGTATTGACTGACCTTCGTGTCTTAAAGTAATGATGGACTGTCATTTCTCTTTGCTTATTTGAGCTGTTCTTGCCATAATATGGACTTGGTCTTTTACCAAATACAGTGGGGGAAAAAAGTATTTAGTCAGCCACCAATTGTGCAAGTTCTCCCACTTAAAAAGATGAGAGAGGCCTGTAATTTTCATCATAGGTACACGTCAACTATGACAGACAAATTGAGAGAAAAAAAATCCAGAAAATCGCATTGTAGGATTTTTTATGAATTTATTTGCAAATTATGGTGGAAAATAAGTATTTGGTCACCTACAAACAAGCAAGATTTCTGGCTCTCACAGACCTGTAATTTCTTCTTTAAGAGGCTCCTCTGTCCTCCACTCGTTACCTGTATTAATGGCACCTGTTTGAACTTGTTATCAGTATAAAAGACACCTGTCCACAACCTCAAACAGTCACACTCCAAACTCCACTATGGCCAAGACCAAAGAGCTGTCAAAGGACACCAGAAACAAAATTGTAGACCTGCACCAGGCTGGGAAGACTGAATCTGCAATAGGTAAGCAGCTTGGTTTGAAGAAATCAACTGTGGGAGCAATTATTAGGAAATGGAAGACATACAAGACCACTGATAATCTCCCTCGATCTGTGGCTCCACGC